GAGCCTCCCTGGCCTGCTTGTTGTGGCCACATACAGTTGCGCTTCCAGCAAAATGGCATCCTTGTTATCTCGTCTCACTTCTCTTTCCCTTCTCTCCTTCTGTTTCCTTTTGACTGATAAACCACAAGAAAGGAACTTGTGTGATAAGGCAGTGGAAGGGTAAGCAGAGGGTGACTCCTGGCGCGTGGACCGGTCCATACTTCATCATACCCCTCCTCTCGGCCTATCTCTTCTGTTCCTTTCCTTACCCTTCTCCTTCTCATAGTTCTTCCTTTTTGTTTTCTTATTTCGAAAAGAAAGAGGGAAGGGAGAGAGAAGGGAGAGAGGATAGATAAAGAAGAGTGCCATCTTCTCTGCGCCTTGTTTTGTCTCTCCCACTTCTCTATTCATCTCTCTTCTATTCTTTTCTTTGCTCTTCCCATTAACAATGCAATCCTTTTGTCTCTCCTCTCTCCTTCTCTCTCCCTTCTCTTCTCCTGTTCCCCTTTAAATGACAAAAGCGCAAGAAAGGAAGAACAAGAGGGGAATGGAGGCCATGTTCCTTTCTTTTCCAATGGATGGGGAAAGCGAGCGGGGTTGGCTCCTTGTCCGTAGACCCTCCCCATGCTGCAGCAAATCCCTCCTCTCGCCCTATCGCCTCTGTTCTTTTCCTTGTTCCCAAACGGAAAAAGAAAACGGGTTCCTTTACATGTTCATTGTTCTTCCTTTTGTTTTTATTTGAAAGGGAAAGATAAGAAAGAGAGGAAAGAAGAAAACGAGCACCATCTTCTCTTTGCCTGATTTTGCACCTCCCTCTCCTGTCTTCATTTCTCTTCCATGATTTTCATTGCTCTTCCCATGAAAATTGCTTCCTTTTGATCTCTCCTCTCCCCTTTCTCTCTCCCTTCTCTTCTCTTGTTCTCTTTTGAATCTCAAAATCACACCAAAGGAAGCTTCTTTTCCTTATTGAATGAAAAAGAAAAACAAGAAAAGAGATAGGTAAAGACACTGAAGAGCTCCACTGCCTATTGTTTCATTCCCTTTCCTCTCTTTCTATGTGTTGTTTCCTTGTCGTTTCAGAAAGCTAGCAAAATAAGAGCAAGGGGGCTTCCTGAAGAGGAGAGAGGGCACCTATTTTTTTAATTATAGAGGGGAAAGCGAGAGACAAGGAAGGGAGAGATGATAGATAAAGAAGAGTGCTATCCGTCTCCTTGTTTCTTGTGTCTTCTCTTCTTTTCAGTTCATCATATTCCTCTTTTCGGCCTGTCTCTTCTGCTCTTTTCCTTACCCTTCTCCTTTTCAAGTTCTTCCAATTTAGTTTTTCTGTTTCGAAAAGAAAGAGGGAAGGGAGAGAGAAGGGCGAGAGGATAGATAAAGAAGAGTGCCATCTTCTTTGCGCCTTGTTTTGTCTCTCCATCTTCTTTGTTCATCTCTCTTCTATTCTTTTCTTGGCTCTTCCCATTAGAATTGTGTTCCTTTTATCTCTCCTCTCTCCTTCTCTTTCCCTTGTCTTCTCCTGTTCCCCTTTAAATGACAAAAACACAAGAAAGGAAGAAGAGGGGAATGGAGGCCCTTTTCCGGTATTCTCCTGTTGCAATGAATAAGGAAAAGAGCATAGGAGATAAGGAAGGGAATTGAAAAGAAAATGGGCGATCGGGTGTCCTTTTTGCTAGTTTTCTGCATCTTCAAGGAAGAAAAAAGGACACCCGCCCAAGAAGGAAAAGTAACTTAAGAGATAGGGAGGAAATAGAAGAGCTCCTCTCTTTACCTAGTCATTCCCTGTCCTCTCTTCTTATCTGTTGTTTGTCTTATTCGCTTCAAAAAGCAAAATAAGGGAAAGGCGATTTCCTGAAGAGGAAGAAGGGCGCCTACCTGTGAATAGCAAGATTGATTTTTTCTAATTAGGGAGAGACTTGCCCCGCCTGAGCCTCCCTGGCCTGCTTGTTGTGGCCACATACAGTTGCGCTTCCAGCAAAATGGCATCCTTGTTATCTCGTCTCACTTCTCTTTCCCTTCTCTCCTTCTGTTTCCTTTTGACTGATAAACCACAAGAAAGGAACTTGTGTGATAAGGCAGTGGAAGGGTAAGCAGAGGGTGACTCCTGGCGCGTGGACCGGTCCATACTTCATCATACCCCTCCTCTCGGCCTATCTCTTCTGTTCCTTTCCTTACCCTTCTCCTTCTCATAGTTCTTCCTTTTTGTTTTCTTATTTCGAAAAGAAAGAGGGAAGGGAGAGAGAAGGGAGAGAGGATAGATAAAGAAGAGTGCCATCTTCTCTGCGCCTTGTTTTGTCTCTCCCACTTCTCTATTCATCTCTCTTCTATTCTTTTCTTTGCTCTTCCCATTAACAATGCAATCCTTTTGTCTCTCCTCTCTCCTTCTCTCTCCCTTCTCTTCTCCTGTTCCCCTTTAAATGACACAAGCGCAAGAAAGGAAGAACAAGAGGGGAATGGAGGCCATGTTCCTTTCTTTTCCAATGGATGGGGAAAGCGAGCGGGGTTGGCTCCTTGTCCGTAGACCCTCCCCATGCTGCAGCAAATCCCTCCTCTCGCCCTATCGCCTCTGTTCTTTTCCTTGTTCCCAAACGGAAAAAGAAAACGGGTTCCTTTACATGTTCATTGTTCTTCCTTTTGTTTTTATTTGAAAGGGAAAGATAAGAAAGAGAGGAAAGAAGAAAACGAGCACCATCTTCTCTTTGCCTGATTTTGCACCTCCCTCTCCTGTCTTCATTTCTCTTCCATGATTTTCATTGCTCTTCCCATGAAAATTGCTTCCTTTTGATCTCTCCTCTCTCCTTTCTCTCTCCCTTCTCTTCTCTTGTTCTCTTTTAAATCTCAAAATCACACCAAAGGAAGCTTCTTTTCCTTATTGAATGAAAAAGAAAAAGAAGAAAAGAGATAGGTAAAGACACTGAAGAGCTCCACTGCCTATTGTTTCATTCCCTTTCCTCTCTTTCTATGTGTTGTTTCCCTTGTTGTTTCAGAAAGCTAGCAAAATAAGGGCAAGGGGGCTTCCTGAAGAGGAGAGGGCACCTATTTGTTTTAATTATAGAGGGAAAAGCGAGAGACAAGGAAGGGAGAGATGATAGATAAAGAAGAGTGCTATCCGTCTCCTTGTTTCTTGTGTCTTCTCTTCTTTTCAGTACCCCTCCAGAAAATTCAAATGGCCTCCTTGTTGTCTCTCCTCTCTCACTTCCCTTGCCCTTCTCTCCTTCTGTTACCTTTTAACTAATAAAACACAAGAAAGGAACTTGTATGATAAAGCAGTGGAAGGGTAAGCAGAGGGTGACTCCTTGCGCGTGGACCTTGCCCATACTTCATCATATCCCTCTTTTCGGCCTGTCTCTTCTGCTCTTTTCATTACCCTTCTCCTTTTCAAGTTCTTCCTTTTTAGTTTTTCTGTTTCGAAAAGAAAGAGGGAAGGGAGAGAGAAGGGAGAGAGGATAGATAAAGAAGAGTGCCATCTTCTTTGCGCCTTGTTTTGTCTCTCCATCTTCTTTGTTCATCTCTCTTCTATTCTTTTCTTGGCTCTTCCCATTAAAATTGTGTTCCTTTTATCTCTCCTCTCTCCTTCTCTTTCCCTTCTCTTCTCCTGTTCCCCTTTAAATGACAAAAACACAAGAAAGGAAGAACAAGAGGGGAATGGAGGCCCTTTTCCTGTATTCTCCTGTTGCAATGAATAAAGAAAAAAGGATAGGAGATAAGGAAGGGAATTGAGGAGCTCCTTTCGCTACTTTCTTATGCCCTTTCCTTTGTATCTACCACACAAAAACACGACTCTCAGCTTCCAAATAAACCCTATTTAAGCCACCCACCCCCCCCCCCCCCCCCCCCCCCTCCCCCCCTACCCCCCCTTCCCATTGTCAGCTCCAGCCCGCCCCCCCCCATTATCCGTACCCGCCATTGGTTTCCCATTTCCAACCCTCTTGCTGCCCCGCATAATCCATCCCCACAAATTCCCAACATCACACACTGCAGTACCTCATTCCCACCATTCCCCGAAACACCCCCCTGCACACCATTCCCAGCATTCCATTTCCACCCACCATGGAAGACCATTCCCCATCGCACCATAAACCATCATTCTTACCCGCATATTGCTGTCCCCATCCCCACCATTACACACTTTTCATCACCCGCAATCCCACCATACCGTTCCTATCATACCAAGAAGTGTTCCCGGTTCCAGCCACACCCACCGTTACCGTTACTCGCCATCCTGCCCACCATGCAACACCATTGCCCGTCGACACCATTCCCACCATTACCTGCCATTTCCGCCATTCCGTACCATACCCCGCCACCCCCACCATCACACACCAGCACTCGCGATTCCCACCATTTCCACAAATACGCGAAACACGCCCCCGCAGGCCATTCCCAGCAATCCATTTCCACCCATCCATAGCTCATCATTCCCCCGCCCATGTTGGCACATTCATCCCCACCATTGCACACCATTCATCACCCGCAATTCCCGCCGTTACCCCCATAACTGACTCATTGCCCGCCACCACGCATCACCACGCACAACCAAAAGCCCGCCATTTTCCCCATTTCCACCATTCCCCCGCTTTCCCGCCAGCGCGAAACAGTCTCTACCATTCCTCACCATTTTCATAATTCCCCCCTTACCCGCCAGTACCGCCATGTCCGCCATTCCCACTATTCCCATTCCCCCATTTCCCGCCACTACCAGCCATTCCCACCAACTGCCACTCGGTGGATCAATCTGCCACACCCCTAAACCCCTTATTGGACCCTATACCCCGCCCCCCCCCCCCCCCCCGCCCCGGATTGTTCAGGCTAAGACAAAGAACCCGTAAAACAAAGTTACCCACCATCGGATTAGGATGAAGGGCCCTGAGGCCCGAAAAAACAACCGGCAGAATAAAATTGAATACCATCACCGACAGAGAATAAGGGAAAACACCCCGAGAACAACCAAAAAAGACATGCCCTATATTTTTCTTGAAAAAAGAGAGGATCAGAGAGGATCTCAGATCCTCTCCCTTCAAAAGGTCTTCGTGGCCACTGGCGAGGTGATTCGGATGGCCCTGGAGACGGGACAGGTTCAGGCCACACACCCCGCTGTGCGTTGGAGGGGTGCCTGAAAACGATCGTTAAGCTTTCCGTGCTTTCCAAGGGTTCTGTGAAGCTTGTGCTTGGACGCTCTACGTTGGACTTCACCGTGAGCTTGTGTGAGTGGCTGCACGTGTCATATGGCAGTGAATGCAGGAGAGCATGTGGGTTTGTAGAGTACTGTAGGGAGGGCTGTGCCCTAGCCAGGGCTATGTCGGGCGAGATTTCTCATGCTCATGCTTCTCGCAACTTTCCGCACTGTGTAGGATTCATACGTGTTGTCGTTTTTTTCGCAACTTGCGTGCGCTGCAAAAGCGCGAGGCTTCGGATCTCCGCTGCGTGGTCTTCGATGAGGCCCGCGAGTCTTCGAGGGCCTGACGCTGTTAGAATAGCACTTGTTGTTTCTCCATTGTTTCTTCTCTCTCTGTATTCTTCATGTCTTAACTCTTTCCTCTCTTTGCTCTGCTCTCACAGAGAGGCGCACCACGCCGTCGGCGGCTGTCTCGGGGGGAGGGTTCTCGTCTCGCTCGCTCGCTCGATATCTCTCAATCTCTCTCTCTCCTCCCTCTCTCTCTCTCTCCTGCAACATGCGCTTTTTCTAGCGGCGTTTCTCTTCCCAGGCAGGCACCCCTACGCCGAAGTTCTGGCGTGGTTGCAAGAAAGCAACGTGCGGGTGCTCGGACTGACTGCGAGCTTTCTGCATGGAAACGCCGCCAGCTCCTGAGAATTCAGTCCGAGCGTAGCTGCACAGCATGCCCAGCATGCGCAAGCCCACCGCCGAGACAAGGACCCCGAGCGTCGTCTGGAGGCACTTCGTTTGTTTGTTTGAATGGGAACCTACTTTAGTCCACAGAAAAAGCTGTCTCCACCATATACTCTTACCCCGGGGCCAGGTTCCATAAATGGCCGAAAATGAAAATAAGATTAAAAAAGGAGTGAGAGGGGAATTCGATTATGAAGAAGGGAGACGTTTGCCACGTTCCCTCTGTGAGGCCCTCGAGGAGCGCTTCAGGGCCAAGGTGCTGTCACCGGAGGCGCCTGCAGAGTCTGTAGAGAGACTGTAGAGAGAGACCTATGGAGTCCCTGGAGTCGTTTAAGTGGCCGCTCATCTGAGGTCCCTCATCACACACGACGTTTCCATGCGGTGACTTGGTCGCCTGGCTCGCAAGACTCAGCGCTAGAGGTGCTGTAGCTGCATTTCTGTATTCATTATCATTTGTCTTGTGATGAATCTGAAGTATGCGGGGGAATGAGAACGACTCTTTTGCATTCTTTTCGCAGACAGGACGGATAGCCAAGCTTTACAAGTTTGTGCTTTGTGCAGAACAGCGTTCGAGCACGGCTTGTGGAAGGCCTGTCTGTTATTGTACTATGTTCTTCCTCCGTGGCTTGCTGATGCAGATCGTGGCAGGTTTGTTCCGGCACGCTGTAACCACATTGCTGGGGCGTGAATCTCCTTTCCTGACGTGTGCTCGTTGGTTGGTCAAGCTCCATCCGTGGGGACAAGGTTATTCACCATGCGGGCCCTTGTTTTTTTGCTTGCCCGCCCGCCCACCGCCCGCCGTGCAACACACCGCGAGCGCCGTACATCGCGGGCAACACACCGCATACATCACAGCCACTACCAGAGAACCGCTCGCCAAACTTTCCCAACTTGAGGTGACAAAGTTATTGGTCACCTTAAGTTGGCCAGCATCTCAACACACTTCGAAATACATCAATACAGCTCGACACACACACACACATCCACAAGCCCGTGCACACACATCCGCACACACACACACACATGCACAAATCATAGCACATCAACACGCATGCCCACACACACATATCCCCCACCCACGCGCGCACACACACACACCCACACACGCGCACACACACACACCCACACACGCGCACACACACCCACACAGACACAGACACAGACACAGACACAGACACAGACACAGACACAGTGAATTCTTACGCATGTGGGCGTACGATGCTTTATGACATGATGCACGGTCAAGCCGGCTACGCACGCAACCCGCAAAACAAGCGTAAAGAAGCAGTGTTCCATCCAAGTTTGTAGCCTCCAACAGCAGCGACGATGGCAACAGTCCACAGCGAAGATGGTGCATACACACTGCAGGTACATAATCCGGCGTCCCAGAACGCACCGCTTGCAGCTGTCTTCGTTGGCAGCAGACTTGCAATGGTTCTCCTGCCCCGTGCAACCGAAAAAGCTCTGTGACCAGTGACCCCATGCATCAGGACGTTCCACACACACATATCAAAGCACACATCAACACACGTCAAAATAGACACACACACACACACACGGACTTACTCATGCACACACACACACACACAACTGAGCTCACATACACGCACCGGTGCGTTTTTGGCGGGGATTGACCCAATGACTACTACAAAGCACTATATCGTTATGGAGTACGCCGCTCCACTTCTTCACGTGGCACTCTGCTGGTTCTTCTTGGATGCTGGAACTGCGCAGTCCCGGCTTGTGTTACTGCAAGGTGCTGACCATTGCTGACCTGTTCTCGTGTCAGGCTCCGCGAATGGAACCGGAAGCCGAAACTCTCAACACTATTGCCTTCGAAGAGGCAAACGCGCAAAGCGAATCGAAGCTAGACAGTCGCAACAAGAATGGCCTCAACTTCTCCCAGCTTACCGGGGTTTGTGTTCGGAATGATCCGGAATGCATCCATTGACATCTGAGAATCTGAGGTCCGAGGCGTCTGTGGTTGGGGCCTACGACGCCTTTGCACGGGAGTCACGGGAGTTGGAGAAGATTTTGGACTGCGTCAGGCAAAGCCTCCGCGGGGCAGCTTGGGAGAGCCAAATGAGCCAAATGAGCCAAATGAGCCAAGGCGGGAGCCAAAAGGGTTGTTGGAGTCCTTGGGAGAGCTCTGAGAGCTCCGAGAGCTCCTGGGAGAGCTCTGGGGCGCTCTGGGAGCTCTTTGGTGCTTTGGACCGGGAGAAGGGCCGGCTCCGGGGAGTCCTGGAGAGCCTGGGCCCCGTGGGCTTCCATCCCTTTGCACCTCACTTGCAAGGAGGGGAACTCGGAGAAGGAACGTCAAGATAACCCTGCTGGAATCTTCATCGGAAGCATCCCTCACTTAGCCGACTGACTGAGAGAGGGATATCGAATTGATGCAGCACAACTTTAAAGACATTTTTTAAACGCCAGAGCAATAAAATGAGTGGTTGGGAACCAGTCGCTTGCCAGCACAAGTGCTCCGCAAAAATGACCACATCCCAGGTCCAAGTGGGCCTCGCCGAAGTGGTTCAGGTAGGGAAGATGTGGTATGCTCATCGGTCACATAATGTCAGACGTATGCATGATTCTGGTCCTGAAGGCGAAGCTGAGCAGCAAGCTTGCGTTCGCTAAAGAAGATGTGGTGAAATGGAACTTGCAGCAGGCGTTGGCGTTGATCCCTCACTGCCGTACAGCCTTGGCCCGTTCTGTGGCCAGTGCCAGCGCCAGCCGCGCCAGCGCCCCCAGCGCCAGCGCCAACGCTGCTGCTGCCAGCGAAGCCATCGACGCCGAGGCGAGCGGGATGAGCGGGACGAATGGGAAGTTCCAGGCCTTGTGCCAACTCCTGGCGCGCCTCACAAAGTCGGAGTCTTCGGATGCGGAATCCGAAAACAGCTTATGCAGCTTCAAGAAAGACCAGGAAAGGACAATCAAGGACAAGACCTGCTTGAACCGTGACAAGGTTCTTGTCTTCGTGGAGCGTGTGGCGGTGGCTGGTCCCATGGCACAGCTTCTGGAGACGTCGTTGTGCCTTCCGGTAACACACGCCCCCTGGTCTCCGATCTGCTTGATTCAATATTTTCAATACGTGCAGTGAGTAACTAAGCCGACCAAGTTTCTTACGGTGACACTTCCTGGAAGTTATTCAGACAATCCAAACTCGAGGCAGTTCACAGGGGTTCAGATAGCTTTGGCTCCCAAACGACGCCGTGCAAGAAAACCGTGAAAACCTTCCCTTTACCAGGAAATAGAATCACTTTCGGGTTGTTCGGTTGTTCTGTTTTCATATTGACTGAACTGGCCTTATTCACTTCTTAGCTTCTCAACAGCTGATGGTTCTTCACATGTTTTTGAACGTTTCCCAACCGCACGAGTTAGTACAACAGAGTATCGGTGTGCGTCTTGTAGCCAAGGACGTGGGATCGCTTTGCATACGTCGTACATTCTGGAATGGCTCGTATATATGTAAATATAGGCGAAAGAACCGAAATCAGCCATGATGTGCATGCAATGTTAACACCTCAACCGTTGCATTAGAAGGGTGTGTCTTGCAAATTGCTCGGGCAGACTTCTGAGATTCTTGAGATGCGTGAACAATCAGGTGTGTGGTGTGCAGGGGATGGAGGATGCGACACGGCAACGGAATCTGCAGCGCTTCCGTTCGGAGTGCCAGGTCTTGGTGGCGACGGCATCCCTTGAGGAAGGCTTGGACGTCCCGGCCTGCCGCTTCGTGATTCGCTATGACTATTTCAGCAGTGCCAAGAGCCATGTTCAAGGGGCAGGCCGTGCCCGGCATCCCGAAGCAGAGATCTTCTACTTCGATAATGATCCTCTGCTGGAAGAGGAGCGCCGACGTCGCGTGGCAGATGCCTGTGACCGTGAGGCGTGTGAGGAGTATGGGACGCCTCCAACTTCGCCTGCGCATGCTGCGGACGCCGAGGGTCCTGCCGAGCTGGCTGCCGGTGCTGCTGAGGGTGCTGCCGAGGGTGCTGCGAGCGTTGGCCTGCAGCCATCCCAGCCCCAACATGGCACAAGCGACGGAATTGCAGACGCGCAGGGCAGTGGCCATGCCTGGGGTGAGGAGACGACCTTGTGGGACTACGGCTCGAATAAATCCTTCCGGGGGATGGCCTGTTCCTGCGGTGCCGTGCTCTGCATCCAGAGCCGTGCCTATGGCCGGGGCCGGAAGAAGAAAGAACGCATCTTCTCCAGGGAAGGCCCTTTCCTCTGTCCACTCTCCGAGAGCGAGCCGCTACAGCAAAAATGAACATCGGATAGATTTGGGAGTTGCTAGTGGCTGCTAACGGTTTGCTAACGAGCATGGTGAAGCTGGCTTTTGCTCGACTCGAGCAAGGGGAAAAATGGGGACACAGGGGGACACGGAGACACAGCAGCAGCACACAACAACACGCAACAGCACAGTTTGTTTGAGCGGACCAGTACATGTGCCGGTGCCCGTGATGGATGTCCCCAGCGCGGCTTCATGACCGACGATCGGGCGTCTCAAGTGTTCACTGCTGTTCGCCGCGCTGGTGGCGAGGCTCGTCCTGGTCCGTCCTTCTGCGTGCGAGCTTGTTTCTCGCAAGTTCATGCAGGAGGCGGAACTGCATCCTTTGCGTGACATCACCAACAAGGAAATTGAAGAGGCATTCATCGTGCGATGCCAATGAAGCCATTCATGCCACACCTGCTTTAGTGTGTGGGCCCTCACTGAACAGTCGAAGCTGGTTTCCGCTCTCTTTGAACGGCCCACGGGTTTTACATGTTGTCAGTAGGTCCAATAAAGAGGAGGTTATATGAGTGAAGAAGGGACCGACAGGCCCCGCACTTGATTTAAAGGCGCATGGCACGACAGGTTCTTACGACCCCCGGACGGTTTGACTTAACTGCGGACTCCGCTCTGTCACTCTGGACCCCCAAGCAGTCACAGGGTCCTGAATAGCCCGGCCAACTCGACTTTATAGAAGAGCCCATGAATGCGTGTCGCAATAAAAACCTGCAAAGCTGATTCTTCGGGGTGCTCAATATTGTTCAATGCGAGGTGAAGCAGCTGAAGCACCCTCCTCGTGAAGTCGCGAGGCGAGAAATACGAGAGTAATGGGAATCTCTGCAGCGGTGCGGCTGTCATTGCTTAAAGGCTTAAAGCAATTGCTTATGATGCTGCAGGGTCATGGAAGTCGTCCACCTTCTGCTGTCAATGGCGCTTCCACCATCCCTGGACTGGGGCGACGTTCTCCGCACCATCGTCCGTGTGGACTTTCTGAAGCGTGCTCGCAGCATTGATCTGGATGCTGTGCTGGAGCAGCCACGACTCATCGACTACATTTGCCGAAGGCTCGCCTTTTCTGGGATCTCTTCCATTGCAGTCCGATGTAGTTGGCGAGAGTCCCTCGGGCGGTTGAGAGTTTGTTTCTGAACGTGTGCCTTGCTGGTGGTTGAGGTTTGCGGTTTTCGGGAGCGAATGCTTGTATGCAGAATTGCGCCCAACAACGCTGAGGCCGGGACTTGCTGTGTCACGCAGGTACTTCACCGGAAGTGAGCCTTTGACCCCCGATCGTGTGCGGTGGGCAAGCAAAGCTGTCGTCGCTTTCTTTGGGCGGCTCGCCATCATTGCATGCTCATCGTTTCTTATGTCTGGTCGCTGTGCTGTGTCAGCAGCAGTTTTGATTTCTGATGCTCTTGCGATTCTTAATTGCTCGCAAGGTGGACGGTTGCCATTATAGCTGGCATACTCCCAGCTTTCCCGACCAAGGCATGGATGGGCATGCAACCCTGAAGGCACGATGAAACATGCACTGTGCTAGGTGGGTGGCGAGGAATCGCGGCGACGGATCTTTCTGCTGGATCAGGAGATGGTGAGAATTGGTGAGATAATCTCATCCTCTTGTCTGTCTGCACATTTGGGTTCACAGAGACATCTTCTCCCACGGTTGTAAGTGCGTGGCACCCAGTATTTGCTAGACCTTACCCGGTCTTGCCACCCAAAGGGCGGGTCTGATGAAGGTGGCCGAAACCCTAATCTCTGGACGGCATACATGGCCGCCTCTTCTTCGGGTGATCAGGAAGTTGTTTGGGGAGGGTTCGCGACACTGCGCCGCGCCTGCTAGATTTAGGACAAGTTGTCAACAAAAAACTACTTGACGAGTAAACGGGGGGGCCCGCCTTGCCTGCACGCCAGGAGCTGCGCGAGGGACGCCGCAGGGAGTCTGAAGAGCGGCGAAAGGAGGTCGAAGAGGACCAGCGCAGTCATTTGCAAAATCTAAGCAAATGCCAAATCGAAAAGCTTAATATACGAGCAAAGACATCAGCACTCAAGGAGGCAGTGCCTGCGTTGATGTCTCAAAGGGGGAGAGCATCAGACAAGTAGACTTCTGTCATGTTCTGTCCATTTCCGTGACGTATTCAAGACTGAGAGATGATGAGTTGAACGGCAAGTCCCAAGCAGTCCCGGCTGCCAATGCGAAGTCGTGGATCACGCGGGATATCAATGGATCATAGCTGTGCGAAAATCTTTGGATCGCCACCTTTCCCGGATCGGAGCCTTCTGTCGTCCTTCTGATACGCCGCTGTTTCTCGTAGAACACATCGGCTAAGCCAGCTAAGCCTTGCGTCAGCCCACCACATCCTGCGCTTGGCGACAGCAGTAGGGCACGAGTCAGGAGAAGCAAAAGCAAGTCGAAAGGCAGCTCAAGGTGGCGGTGATTCTCAACCGGCCATGCTGTGTGCCGTCGGCAGTGCTTTCAGGTGCTTGAGAAGAACCGAGAAGACCAGGAACGGCAGCGCCGCCAACAGCAGCAGGAACAAGAGCAACTGCAGCTTGCTGCTAAGCTCCAGGCTGCAGAAGCTGCAGAAGCCGTCACGAGAAAAGCAGAGGCGGAAAAGATGCGACAGCAGCAGCTACGCCAGCAGCTAGAGCAAGACCAGCAGAAGGCCGACTGCTGGAAAGTTGTGAGAGTTTTGCAGAGTGTTCCAAGATCTTTTCCCCAAGTTTCTCTCAGAGATGTGTTGTCTGTGTTGTCAGGCCTTTGAGCAGCACCGAAGAGCTGCCGCCAAGCAGAAGAAGCTCGAAGCAAAAATCAGGCTGCGAACATGCGCAAGAATGCACGAAAACGCCCACGCTTTCATGCCGACTGGCTGTTTCCGTGGCGTTCTCAGTTCTCTAAGACTCTAAGCTGACCGAGGCGCAAAAAACGCCGTGCGCTTGGTTTAGATGCTGAGGATTCCGGCTCAGAAGCCGCTCACTGAGTGGGGCCCACTGAGCTAGGATGGCAAGATGCCGCAATTGAAAGTCTTTGCCAACCTGCGCGTCTCGACTTGCATGCACAGCACAGATTTGACTTTGCAGTGCAACTTGTTTAGGCGGAGCGGCAGCGTGGAACTTGGAACATCAACAATCCAGATATCCGATTCATGTCCATAGAAGGCTTGAGTTAAGGGCTGGGCGAACGCCCATTCTTCGACATGGAAAGCACATTGCCCGTTGACGGAGGTGCTGAAATTACATTCCTATCTGACGAGTTCGCTGACCACTGTACGGCCGTGTCTTGCCGACCTATTCACTACGGCCAGCACTTCTTCGAGTTCATCATTCATAGTTTCAGCAACTCGTCGGCAGAATCTGTGCTTGCTCAGCTGCTCAGCTGCTGGCCGATATCAGAGTCGAGTCGAGTCTTGCAGGTGACCAGCTGCGATGTGGTGTGACCACTGATTCCGTGCAGGTGCGCACCATGGCGGGGAGACAGTGACAGGTAAAAGTTGACATCACGTTGACATGCTGTGCGCTGCAACACATGTGCTGATCTGCTCGGAGGCTGGTGCACTGGTGGCGGGCCACAACCTGCGTGGCTGGTGTTGCCATGTTGCATTCAATGTAACAGTCCAGCAATTGGCACATCCAGCATTCCATTTGCGCACATGGGCGCCGCATACTCAGGCACAGTGAGTTGCAGCATAAAGTGAGCCAAGAGCACATCTCTTGATGTGAGCTGATGTCCAGGCCCAGGTCGGTGCTACTCTGTGCTGCCCAAACAGGTTACAATAGCGGACGACGAAATCCACAGCTACGGGGTATGCCGGCTGGCTTGCAAGTCAATGGCAAGGCAGGGGGCTTCAGTGCTGCACTGAAGCCCAGGCAGTATGAGCAGCGCAGTTGTAAGTGGAGGTCGTCCAAGACTTTGGCAGCATCGAAAACGGCGCACCGGCCCGGTGATGTCGTGCACACGCCTTGTGGACTTCAAAAGGGATGTGAGGCATATACTGCATATACATGTTGAGGTGACGCCATCGGTGTGCTGTTGGATGCGGACCTCAAATCGCATACAGCGCTACACAGATGCGAGTACTTCTCCAAGCGCGCACGTGAATGGAATTGTTTGGAATTGTTTGGAATGCATGAGAAGAGAAATTTCAGAAATGGCCAAGGGGCTCCCTTTTTTGCATTCTGCAGCGCAGGACCGGTGGTCGATTGCATTTTTGAAGAACCGGGTGCTGGAGGGCAGCTGTGCGATGACTTGCCACATGCGCGAGCCGCCTCCGAGACCAAACAGGAAAGCATGTTTTAGCTTTTTGCAATGCTTCTCTCGGCAGTATGTCAAACTGTTGTCCTTTTCAGCTCAGAAAGTTCATCGAACACCCCATGCAACCAAGGTTGTACTTACTGTTGCACATGGATGCTGCAGGTGACCATGTGGAACTGCGTCATGTCGCCCTACAAGAAGCTCCTGCGGATGCCGTTGCTGAACTTGAGTCCTACTCCCCTCCCTCTTGGCAGACCTTGACCAGTGACTGCTCTGATTGCTCAAGCGTGACCAGTGGTGAGGGCGAGCACGCTGAAACAGTCCGATGTTCAAGTTCCCCAACAAGTCCCGCATCGCAGTCTTCACGCCGCCCACCATTCTCTGCCAAATCCGACGTAGACAATCTGGCCGATTTGCCCCCTGTAGCAAAGCCGACATCGGCAGCGCCACGAGATCACATCGGCAAAAGCCTCCGAGCGAAGGCAGAGCAACCAAGACCAGCCTCCGGCGACATTTCGAGGTCACTGCGTGCGGCTGGGGCACTTCTGGCACGCAAACCTTCCGAGAGAGATGTCGAGAGAGAGGCCCAGGATGCACACACACCGCATGGGCCGCAGGGGCCGCAGGGGCCGCAGGGGCCGCAGGGGCCGCAGGGGCGAGGATCCCCCAGACTCGAGCAGCAAGAGGGCTCCGTGGGGTTGAAAGCCCGCTTGAAAGAGTTGAAGGAATGTTTTGATGAGGGCTTGCTGACCCAGGAGGAGTTCCAAGAGGACTTTCTGAATCAAGCTTTTGCCAGTTGGAGGGCACTCACTAAGAACTGCCATGGCACTTGCCGTTGCACTTTCCATGCGCCTGCAGGAGAAAAGCTTCCTCCTGAGAGCATTACGGCCAAAGTTCGCCACATTCTCCGAGCAGTCAGCAGAGATGGCAGAGACCCCTTCTGGCACATCCGGCACTCCTGTTTCGGCTTCTCCCTCGGCTTCAGTTCCGGCTTCAGTTCCGGCCTCCCGGAAGATTGGCACCATGGGCACCATGGGCACCATGGGCACCATGGGCACCATGGGCACCGGCAAACGCGTGGGAGGCAGCGCGGGGAGCACCCGCAAAGAGCGGGGAGAGGATGCAGAGGCCGAGCTCGGTGCCTTCGGGGCCGGGGCTCTGGGTGATGTTTCCCCCAATGCAAGCTCGCCCAGCAGGGACTTCCCAACGGCCCCTCTAGGACCAGGGTTCGCGGCACTGCTCGACCACTGCGCGGCCAGCTTCAATGACCAACAAAACTCATTGAGAGATTGCGGGGAGCCGTGTTTTATACCTGTTGCGGGTAAGGAGTTGGCCTACTGTGTAAAATGCTCCCTCGACAATTTGTCAAAGCTGCTGCTTGGCTGTGCCCTTACAAGGGGGACCTATCAGGAAAAATGACTCCCCAGCAACGAAACAGATCCGAGCAAACAGACTTCTGCAACCTGCTCCAGGCACTCGTAGCATCGTAGTTTACACTTTGCCTGATGCCTCATGCCCCATGGCGCCAATGTCTGTGCTCGGCCGCGTGGGTCCGGCAAGAACCTGGCAGAGGCCCAGTGGCCGCCTGCCGGTAGGTCTGCAGAGTCTGCAGCGCAGCCGGAAAGTTTATCAGCCACGCAGCCAGGACAGCAACTTGCGCCGCTTTTGCAGCATATCAGTCGTAGCGGAGCGCTTGCAAGGAGTGCTTCGTGAAATGCGGCCAACGCTTGTCAAGTGCATCTTGTTTGTTGGCAACAGCTAGTTTCCTCGCTGGGCGCTGAGTGCCGCATACATGGTTAACCATATATGCATTTGATGCATTTGCCTTCGGGCAGAGTTCTCCCGGAGCGGAGAGGTAGCACCACGGGCCTGCAGAGGCAGAGGCATTGGCACACAACATCACTCACAGAGTAACTAACAGCGTGCTACCTTTTAAAGGCTTTTGGTTAAGTGTTGCTGCATGAGGAATGCTTTTTTTGGCGCGTCCCCGCCAGGCTGGCGAGGCTGGCGATGTCGGAGCTCCATGAGCGGCCAGCGCGATCGGGAGGCCCGGGTGGGGGGGGCAGGGGGGGGGCAGGGGGGGGGGCAGGGGGGGGGGGCAGGGGGGGCACCTCAGGCACCTCAGTCAGCGTTCTCTCATCTGCACGGGTTGCCTTCGCAGGTGCCTCCGCCCAATCGTTGGGCCACCGGCGCCCCGATCACGCCACCGCCTTGTGCTGCACTTTGCCTTGCTCCCCGTTTGGTGTCCCACTTAAGTGTATTCCAAGAGCACACAGCTGTCACAGCGCCCAGGACCCCAGCCAGCTCCACGATCACGCTGCGGCTTTTTCCTTACTTGCGGTTAGCTCGGGGATTGGTATGCCGCATGCTTCTGTACAGTGAGCTCCACTTTAGCTTCCGGCCTGTGAGTCTGGCCTGTGAGCTCTTCAAGACACATTGACATTAGGAGCCGCTGCTGTTCGGCAGCCACGGTGTAGTTTCATGTTTCATGAGTCGTCGTTTGTCGGTCGCTTTTGTGTTGAACAAGTGTAGAAGAAATCGAAGCCACCAGCTTCAGCTTGCACCCAGACCAGACATGCGGATCGACGAGGTCATCAGGATCCTGCTTCGTGGCATTCTCGGCTTAGGACATGACTCATATGACTCAATATGACAGCATCGTGTGCATCCACTCGAGGCTCCAACGCGGTTTGCGTCGGTGATGCGTCCGACGGCGTCTTCTTCGTGAAGGCCGGCCATCCTCGGACAACCCGTGGGAAACAGACCTCGCAGACCTCACGAATCTTATGCGATCGGGACATCACGACGGTGGTTGCCCTAGTGAGGACGCCCAGGCAAGGCGAAGGAGAGGTTTGACTGGCAGCCCTTGGGCAAGTTGCACCGGATAAGTCGCGCGCATCGGGACAGCATTGTTGCGGCGACTTGCCTTCAACATCTACAAACTGCCTCCTGCCAGTTTAAATGCTTTTGGAAGCCTAAAGCACCTTCTGTTCCCTGGCGAAAGGTTGCCCAAGATGATGAGGCAGAGGTGCGGTCATCAAGTATTTCATGATGACTTGCGGCTTTGTGCCATGTCTTTCCAGGACGAAGGCCTTGCATGCATCTCGTTGGCCGACCTCCTGGATGTGCGCAGTCTCAGTCGCATCTGCGGGTGGGAGCTACCTACTGCCACAGTGGAGATTTCGTCTTCATTTGTGGGGAATCGAGATCGTGCCCACTCGATACATAGAGAATCCCTGCTTATGAGAGGGCAACCTACTTCGTGGATATTGGGGATGTGGAACCCCAGTGCAAAGGGGCCGGTATGCAGATCAGGAGATCAGGAGCTCCCCCCAAAATAGCAAGAAATACACAATTCTCGGTTCCCGATGCAGAGGGGGAAGTCCTCTTTCGTGCCTTTCTGAAGTTCCACCTGGCATGTCATCAATGCAGTAGGGGGGAAAACAGGCACCTCACACATGAATTGAATAAAGGACCTTTGACATACTTCGCCAGGCCCCAAGGCAGCTCCCGCTTGACTGCCTACTGGGTCTCGGGAACAAGGTACGGAGAGTGACTCAGAGTGACCATGCTTCGATGCCAGTCTCCGCCAGTCTCAGCTGTCTCCTGCGCATGAGTCGGCAGGAGGAGTGCGATTTGTATTCCTCCGCACCCGAACCGTGAACCTTGGAGCAGTTCGATCCCGACAGTAAAGCACCAAGTGTGTGGTGTGTGGAGCATGAGGTACGTGGACAAAAGTGTGCAGACGGAGTTGCTTGGCCGCCTGTTCGGCTCCTAATTCGTGACAACAGTGTAACGACAGCATGAAAACATGCGTCAAGGCATGATCCAGGCAAGAAAAATGTTTCAGAGCACAAGATGAGGCCCTGGCTACTCGGGCTCCTCGTCTTCCTGTCGGCGCGGTACCCGAAGCTCCCAAATTCGACACATCAACTTTCGTTTGTTGTCTCTCTCTCTCTCTCTCTCTCTGTGTCTCTTTTTGTGTCTCTGAGCAGAGAGGTTTCCTCGGCCATCTTGGAGTTCTACGATGCACTCTTGCAGAAGTCTGGAGCCCTTGGGGGGGGCGGGGGGGGGGACGGCAGCTCGAAGCTGGGGGCGCAGGCACCTCATCATCGCGTTTTACTTGACTGCGCTGGTCGGCTGCGGCGGCAATGCTGGTTCACAGGCCAGACGCGCCCAGAAAGCCAGGTGAGCATTGTGGCATTGCGTGGCCAGTGGGAGTGAAGTGAGTGAAGCAGCAGGCTGCGTCACTGGTTCTGCAGGCCGAGGGCGTCCTTTATGGTTGGTCTACACTGCGCACAATCTATTTGCAAGTCTACACTTGCATACAACTGTAGCAAGTCATGGTGGCTTGCAAGGCTCTTGCAACTGGTGAGCTGGTGAGCTGAGCCGGTGATTGCATTCGTCTCGATGAAGTCGCTTGCAAGCAGATCGCGTAAGTGCCTCACATGATATCAGGTGCCGACATTTGCTGATGTGGGCCGAGTGCTGGGCAAGGAGTGCTGAGAATCTGCGTAGTTGGAGCCCGTTGTTCAGACACCCCGGCCCTCTCGTGATTGAAATTGAGCGGCGCAGCGGCCAACGGGACATTCTTTCTTGTGACTTCGAACATGCACCTGCGTAGGTCGATCACTGTTGCTACACACGACCTGGCACCTTCGAGATGGCGATTCGAGGGTACTCGTCTGTTTTCGCTCACCAGCTCGCCGATTGAAAATTGCTTTGTGGAGTTCTCGCTGAGTGTGAGAGTGGCCAGTCACCAGAAACGAACAAGGGGTTATGGTTGAAAAGAAAGGAGGCCGCCCCACATCCCAAAGCGACAAAAAAGAACAAGAAGAAGGAGAAGAGCACCAACGAGAAAAAACAAGATACTTGCCAGCGATGCAATCAGCATCATTATTCTTAACCAAAGGCCAAAGGTCTTGAACTTCGCCACAGTTTGAGACAAAGCAAGAAGAGTCATGTAGGTTTCCACCAACTCACTGCTGTCCTCGGCCTTTGTAGGATTATGCGACTCCAACATCCCCTCTCTGTAAAGCCTGGAAAAAACCTAGAAAAGCAGCTGGTATTGACTCTGCCCGTGGAATGACCTCTGCATCACTGCTGGTCTCCTGTGCATTGACCACGTCCACCTAGGTCCCGAACAAGTAAACCCGAGGCGACTAAACCCTAGGGCCCCCAAGGGCCTCGCTGTGCACTGCCCAATTACATCCTCATGCAGTTCCGAACGCATAGGAAGACCCCAAGCAGGATTCAAGAAGTGTCTTGTGTGGTTTGTTACCTTCTTGGATGTTCGGTTGTGTCTTGTTTTGCCCTGTTTGCCCGTACGTTTTTTCTAGCTTGTGTTTTTGTCTTTTCTGTGGCTTTGGTTTTGTTGCTCGTTTTCTGCGTCCACCATGTTTTTTTTGAACGTTTTCTGTAGTTTTTTCCATTGTGTAAAGAAACGTGTAACGGGCTTCTTACGCTTTTAAGGTTCAGGACTTTTGGTTCAGGGGTCAGGGGTCAGGGTTTAGAGTGTCGTTCAATGAGTCAAGAGACATGGTTTTGAATTGCAGCTGTCGTAGCTTAGTGTTGTCGCTTACTGGACGTTGTCACATGTTGTCACATGTTGGTACGGATTGAATTAAAGGTGAACAAAGTGAAGACAGAGTATGGATCTCTTTTAATGGGAAATATTTACCTCTTCGGCCCCTGCTCTGGTTCAAAAACTGGGGCCATTTGATGGCGGCAACCTGCAGGAGCTCTTTGTCTCTGGGGGCATTGCAGCCGCACTTTCGCTAGGCCCAAGAGAGTGCTATGACATGCTATAATTGCTTCTGCTACAATATGCCCCTGTCCCCCGGGGCCCCCACCTCAGCCCCCCCCCCAAATGCCACCAGGGAATCCTAATTGCCCAGGGACCTTGTAGGAGGTCAGCATTTCAGGATGAAGAAATCAACAAAACCCTATATGAACTTGGCAGGCATCGCAGGTCGAATCCTCCTGCCGAGACTTCAGATGGCCACACTGAAAGAACACATCAGACTGAGAAATATGAGGCTTTGGGGGGGGCAACTTGCTGTCATTTTCTTTGGTCCTTGAGGTTCGGAGGCTCGGTCGCTGATGCGCTGAGCATTGCACTGGCCATGGCGGCCACGGCGCGCTGTGCAAGCAAACTATAGCAGCGATAGCAGCGCGCTGTGCCATGATTCTTACGCGCCCACGGTGGAGGTTTCCTTCTCTGTTCTTTTCGGTGCAAGTGCACCGCTGCTCCTTCAGCGTGCTGGAGTTGCGACCCCAGAAGTTGTGAGCTTCGTGGCTTCGTGCAATTGCCTGCAGCAGCCCTGGACTGCAGGCAGATCCGGCGAAGGCCACCTGCCTGAATCCTGAACTCTCTAAAGAAGTCGATGCGGGTGGTTTCGGTTTCCGTTGGAAGATTCGGCTGCAGTTGGGTTGGGGATGTTTTTTGCTGTTGCGCCCTGCGCGCATCAGGGCCGAGCTGAGCTGCGGGTCCTTAGGGATGGACAGGGATGGACTGCCTTTTTCTGCTGAATGATCACTGAGGTGAGTGGGCCGCTGCTTTCTACCGTCATCGACATAGCCGGGGCAGGGCACATGTCGGCCGATAACAGCGGAAGCCTTCCGAAGCGTCTTCTGACAGGTCTTGGTGGCCTGCCTTTCGGCGCAAGTGCTGGAGGACGAAGACTGAGGTTTTGCTTTTTGCCTCTCGTGACTTCTCGTCCTCTCGTGACGTCTTTGAAATTTGAGTGTGCTTTGGGATTCCTCGGCGCTGAGGCCCTGGGTGCCTGGGGCTGATGCCAGCGGCCTTAGAAGCAGAGCAGACTTGGGCAGACTGAGTTTTTTTTTGGAGTATCAGGAGCCAGGGCAGCTAGGAGCAGCTCCATGCTCCAAGGTCTCGTACTTGTGAGCTTCTGTTGTCTGTTGTTGAAGTTGTCTACTGAGTTCTGAAACGGTTTTGAAACTCCCGTAGTCTGTGCGGCGCAGTGCAGCTCAGTGCAGCTCAGTGCAGCTCAGTGCAGCGCAGTGCAGCGCAGTGCAGCGCAGTGCAGCGCAGTGCAGCGCAGTGCAGCGCAGTGCAGCGCAGTGCAGCGCAGTGCAGCGCAAGCCATGCGAGACGAGTTCCGGTCTCTGAGCCCGTGTCCACTGCAAAAATCAAAGAGTCAGCATCTTTGTTTTGTGAAGTTGTCTTTGAATAGCTAGACTGGCTAGACTAAAGCAGGAAATCACGTATTCTTTCAGGCAGTTCAGTCCGGTTTCCCGTCAGTCCAAACGCACGGACATTCACCATCGCACTCCTGCCGTGAGCTATGTTACGCAAGCCATTCCTCATTAAGGTGCCAGCACGGAGCGCCAGGAGGAGATCCAGAGACAGTTTCTGAAGCATTCTTACGCCATCTCAGACTCGAAGTCCCTCCAGGCTCGATCAGTTCCTTGTGCCAGTGCCAAAGCACCGGCAAATATCAGAGCCTGTGCCCGAGCTGAGCTTGGAAAGCCGAATTCATCAGCCACGAGTGCCGTGACCGAGTGCCACTGCCCAAAACTGGCCCATGAGACTTCCATACTTTGCCTCAATGAGTAAATTCGAAGTTTGACAGACCTTCGCACCTGCATTCCATACAGCGCTCGGCCTGTTGTTGTGAGCTTCCTGATCGTTCTTTTCGGCTGTCGCTCAGTAGTTCTTCTGCACCGGAAAAAGGTCGCCGGCGCAGCTTGGTCGAATTTGAAGTTTTTCCTAGGGTCCTAGAAGGATGTATGGCTTTTCGTGGGCCCATTGACTTGTACGTCAGGTGCTCCTGTGATTTCGGTAGGCTGTGTTTTCATGAGCAAGATATCATCTCAAGCCCTCCGATTTCCTCCAACGTGCTCACAGGACTTGCAGTCAGCTTGTGTCGTCTCGTTCTCCTGAGGCACGGCGCCAGGAGCAGACCTCGATGGAGCCACGAAGCCCTCGAAGCCCCCCCGTGCATGGCTCCATGTCCAAGAGCGGCATACTGAGCACTCGCAGCGTTCGAAGTGTCCGCAGCCACAGGAGCCACGAGACCTGCGAAAGAACCTCAGTCAAAAGCAGCACAGAGCTGTTTCAACTGTTTCGTTTCTACTTTCCTCATGGTCGATGCTGGCATATGCTGGGCAAACACAACCTGTGGCAAGGTGCCATTCACGGCGTCGTCGCGTCAGATGCATCCGAAGTCAACTCCCAGGTGCCGACGCAACCGCCGCACGTTTATATAACACGGCAGGAGCTGGCAGTGTTACAATGTGTTACACTGTGTTTATAATGTGTTGCAATGTGTTACAACGTGTTATTACGTGTTACAATGTGTTCCAATTTGTTACAACTGTGCTCAGTAATTATGGCTTTCACTCATGCTCTGCTAGAGGTGGGCAGAGGGCATAGTGCAGAACACAATTCGCTCCCGGACAAAGGCGCAGGTGCAAATCGTCATTTCAGAGATCGACGAGTTCGACGACATTGCCAGAGAGCCGTCGCTGCATATCCCAGGAAGAAATGATACAGTGCCCGCGCGGCCCGCCTGTGTAAAGATCGATTCGGATCCGGCTCCTCCGCCACCGGACTTCGAGACCTTCGAGACGGAAGCAGCCGAAACAGATAAGGCCATCTCGATTGGGACTCAAAAGTTGACTCAAAAGTCAAAAAAAGCATCAACGAGAGACCGCTGCCCTGGCTGTCGCCGATTCTTGTGGGCCAAGTGCTGGCAAGATCCCCGCTGGCGGAAGTGCGGCTTGATCACTGCTGCTTTGGTATGGGTTGTGGTAATCGCTTTGGCCATTTCGCTGGGGCTTCTTTGGCCCCGTGACCCGTCTTGGAGACTCACGAGCCTTCAGATGGACGTGGATGCATTGATGAGCTTGGTCACAGCCGCCTCCAGCGGTCCCTCTGTGATTGAGACGGCGGTCGTGCCAGATCAGGTCTTCCGGGCAGAAGTCGAAGTGAACAACCCGAATCTCGTTGGGGCTGAGAGCCAGGCAGGCCAATTTCATTTCATTTTTGAGGGCCGCAACGTGGGTGCGGGGATGACCGGGCCCGCAACTATTCCTCCACAGTCTGTAGCAACGGTTGTGGCAGAAGGAGCGCTGCAGGTCGACAAAGACCTACTTCATGCCATGGCTAGTGAGCTCAGTGCCGACAGCCCCACGGTCCCCACGCTCAACTTTGAAATCCTTGCAGAGTCCGACTTTCAAAGCATATTTGGGATGGAGCTTCATTACCAGATGCATTGCAAAATTGACTTTTCCATCCCTGATCTCATGATGTCAGATACACGAGCCAGGGCAGTCACAGGCCGAGAGTGCAAGCACACCGTGAACTTCTGAAGGAAGCGCGGCTGCAAGCACAGTCTTAGCAGGGCTTTTCGCAGGGCCACTCTACGCCTCTACGCGGAGCTTTGGCCATTTCCTGCGTAACACTCGGCACTCGGAGTTCCTTTGCGCAGCCAAGCTGCAGAAAGTCACAGCTTAGCTGTCGGCTTCAGAGTGCATCTGGCATCGCAGTACAACAAGAAGTATCGATGCAGGATGCCTAGGCAGGGAGCCATCTTTGTAACCCTAGGGGTGACACGCTGAGAGTGCGGCACCTTTAGGCATCAACAAGGTGGGAAAAGACCTATACGCTGCTTGCTTGCCTGACTTGGCGAATGTAGGGAGGGGACAGACCCACTTTGCCCACACCCTGTTTGCATTTCGGGCCGGGGTTGAGAACGGTTGAGGGGGTGGGGCTACGCTATGAAGACCGGCTCGGATACATTTTTCGTTGCTGCGCGATAGTAGAAGTAGGGAAGTTGCCCAATTCATTTTTTTCTTTTTTTTTGGGGGGGGGGGGCCACAAGGTACGCTTCCTGACTTCCTGCATCGCTTGTGCTTTCGTTCCCCTCGGGTGCAAGTGTTGCGTCTCATACGCAGAACGGACCCCACCTGTAGACCGTTAATTAGGCTTCCGGTATTCGCAGCAGCGCAATGTGCTTCAAAACGTCGACAGACGAAAGCCTCAACGTCTCAACATGGCTCCCACCCCTCGCACAGCAACAGCTCACAGTCACACGCAACGGTGACAGCTCGGTTACTCCGGGATGGCACTCCATCGAATCCGTGCGCTGAAAGATCCAGGCCTGGGCTTCCTTTCACTGGAGATGTGCACATGGAGAAGAGTAGGGATGTGGAGATTTTGCCAGGCCACTGAGGGCAATGTCTGAGGATGTCCGGGCGGCCGTGGGCAAGATGTCCCGGGTACTGCGCCCCTTGGCCTATAGGAGGGACTGCGGCGCTGCGGAACATTAGTGCAGAATGCCCAGCTAGAACATGACATGGCTGGAAACGGATGCTTAAGGCCTGGCCAAAGATCGCGCCAACACGCAGCCAGTTGCCCAAGACAGTGTTGAAGCTGCGCATGGCACCGTGGCTCTACACCCCCTCAACACCCCCTCAGCCTGCCTCAGGTTCGGGAAGGCACATGCCTCAACCTCTTGTGCTGGCGAGTCCTTCTTCCTAGTTACGAAAGGCGATTTTCCGTCTGGTGGTCAGTGGTCACAGGTCCGAGAACGAGCCAAACGATTCAGCTTGGGAGGCGGCTCAGATGCTTCGCAACCGCCCAGAAGCAAGCAAGCCAATCGCCTTTGACCAGGATCTCCAACCACCAGCCAGAGTGCTCCAAGTGCAACAGAGAGCAGTTCTGCGTTCATGGAGGACCCGGACCAAAAGGCAACCTGCAATGTGCTACCAGCACATTTTTTTGAGGGCACTTCAACTTGACCACAACAACTTGGCGTCAAGATGAACAGTGATCAACAGGTGAAGCAGCTCATGGACCTGGGCTTCTCTGCCGTTGCCTCAGCGCTTCCTTCTTTCAGCTCTGGCGCTCCCCCCTTGTGTCTGTGCTTCTCAGAGCCGAAGGAGGCGGCTGCTCGGCACGCACTGCGTGCCCCCAAGAAGCGGATAGCACTTGAAAGTCGCATTCCTGGTGAATAGGCAAACCGAAACGTACCAATATTCGTGTGCTCAGAGGAGAGCTTGTGGTGGACACCTGGACATTGCGGGCCCGTGGCTGTGATAGCCACAGCTGTTTCAATTGATTCATGGCATAAGGCCATCCAGTGAGGAATGAGCGGAGGCATAAGATGAGAGGGGCTGCAGCACCCGTGTGCAGAAGTCATTCAAATCTAGGCTGGACGAGCAGAATGCTGACGAGCTCCTTGCTGCCGAGGTGCCCACTGGAGGGCTGGGGTTGCGTTACCTAGCCGCTAGGGATCGTGAAAATGGAGGCCCGAACAGTGATTCGGGTTCGATAATCCCAGGGAGACATCTGGAGAACTTTCTGAGTATGTCGCTTATTATGCTTCAAGCAGAGGCACTCTTGAAGAATAGATGTGCGCATACCGCATAACCATAAGTCACGCCACCACTTGCAGGTGGCAGCTCAGGAGGTGCGGCGCCAGAAAGAAGTCCATGATACTGCACTCTTGGGCGACTTCGTGCAGAGACTTCTGCAGGTGGGTTCCCCAGCACGCCCCCCGCTGGCCGCAGGAGGCCGCGCCAGGGCATCGAACCCAGCAAAGTCTCAGTGAGATGCTGTGAGAAATGCTGAAAACATGCTGGGAACTTTATAAGCTCACCTCTGGTGAGTTTGTCGGAAAATATATATTTCTATATGTATGTATGCATGCTACATTCATGAGTAGCAGCCATGGTCGGCTGAGGCTCAGGCATCATGTGTAGGCTCCGTGGCTGTAGCTGTCAAGCCAAGGTGACGGGCTTGCAAACTGCGAGCGCCCGGTGCTTGGGCCGGAACTGGTGCTCACGGCACAAGTACGATTGTGTAGTGTACACGATGGCCACAGCACAAGGCGGCGGCGTTGAATGGCAGTGACGTGCTCCTACAAAAGTGGGCTCGAGGCTTACAATCACAGCGGAAGCTTTCAAGTGAGAAAGCCTTTGCCATTGCCGAGGATGCAGCATCCCAGCGTTGGATTGTGAGCATGTGCAAGACCCAGTTCAGCTAGACCGTTTAGACTCGTTCAGACCTTTGGCGAATTGATCGCAGGCCGGATGGGACTGTGAAGTCTATTCGGCCACAGAATCTAGATCCCCTGTCTCGGCCCCAGCCCAGGTCTTCTTCACAAACTTGAGATGCGTTGTGCTCTCGTTTCTAAGACACCGTCAGAAATTGTTTTTGAGGTATGCAAGTCCGCATGGCCGACCGGCGCACGCCTTTGAAAGCCCTGAGAATGCCAAGCAATTTAGCGAAGCACCTTTTTTTGAGACCTCTCTCCAGGTGCATGAAGACGAGCCGGCTGAACAAACTGAGCAGACTGAGCAGAGATACTCTGCCCACCGCTCAGCCCATCATGGCCTCGAATTGTTCGCAGCCTTTTTCTGAGCATCTCACATCTCCTAGGCGGGACAACCTGAGCAGTCTGGGCAGCATCAGGCCGGGCCCGCTTCAGCGTCGGCGGCCGCGCCAGCAGCAGCCCCAGCGCCCGCTCCCGTTGCCGTGTTGTATGGCTGCCCTACTGCCATGTCCAAAGCGCACACACACACACACACATTCTGAGGAGGATGAGAGGCCCGGGTCTTTGCGAGTGATTGACCAATGCGTGAGTTGTCGCATGTTTGTGTTACGTCGCGCGTTGCAGCATTCTCCCGAGGAGCGATTTAGATCGTGAGGCTGGCAGACCCAAGATGCCCCCCCAAAGCCACAGAGACCGGGCATGGGCTGACATCTTGGGGACTTGTGGAGCAGGAGCTGAAGATTCTGGCTCGCACCATGCCGAGCCCTTGTTTGTTGCGTCTGAAGCCGCAGCAAGCATCGCCTCAAGCATCGCATTATCAAGGCTCGAGAGCACCGGGCAGCCTCGCCAGCAGTCTGTGACCGATGAGGCTCCGGAATAATTCTTCCAGACGTTCGCACAACGCCACTCTCGTGTTGCAGTCGTTTCTCAGGTCTTGGAAGCCCTTTCAGAGGCATTCTCCGTTTTCTTTCGAAAGCGGGAAGCGTGACGGTTTTCCTGCCTCCCTCGCTGTTCGTTCCAACACGTTGCAAGCACGTCGCGACAGCACAGAGAGAGAGCCCCGGAGGCCGACTTGTTGGAGCTTGCAGGGGGACTCAATGGGACCCACTCTCCTGTAACACTCTCACGGGCTCGCTTCTTTCTTGCAAAGTCTCTTCGGCTCCCCGAGATTGATGGCCTCAGCCGAGATCTCTTCGTCAGGTGCAGAAGTGCTTGAAAGTTGCTTCTCGCTTCGACTCCTTTGCTTCGGATCCTTGTGGATCCTTCCTCAGTTCATGATGTCATGCGGCCCTCAAGCCAGGACAGATGGCCAGCAGGAAGCACAGGCCAAAATCCTCCTTGCTGAAGCATTTTTTCAGCGCGAGATTACGCAGCGTGGCCTTGGAACCAGGAACCTCCGGCCAGGCCTCGTGTCTCAGCATTCGTGACTTGCGCATTGCGAAGAGTCCTGGAGAGTCTCGGCATCCTTCAAGGCCAGACGTGGCCGGGAAGATTGTCGAGCCACCTCCCTGTGGTGCTTGCTTCGCGCTCGCGCTTCGTTCCCTTGGCGCGCGAGCTGCGGGCTGAGGCTGGAGCTTGAGGAAACTCGACTCCGGTCCCTGGCAGAGGCACGCGGTGAGACGGAGCAGTCGTGTCGACTTCGCGGCGGCGTATGTTCACTCCACTTTCTGCACCCACTGAGGCACAGGCCAAGCGGGCGGAAGAGTTAGAAGCACGAGAGGCGACAAGCAACCGATAGGAGCACAACCATCCCACATTGTCCCACATTGCCTCGCGTCTCACACGCAGCATGCGCAGCTGAACCAGCGGCTTGTGTCAAGGCAGCCTTGCAGGAAGCCGAAGCAGCTCTGGAAAGGCGCAGGTCCGAAGGAAAGGAGCCCGCAGAGGCACCGCATGGAGGGTTTGTAACGCACACACCAAGACGATGTGCTTCATTCTCCGCCATTTCATACGTTCGGGGCCCTGTAGATTCGAGCAGCAAGACAGCTATCGAAGTCGAAGAATTGGAGCGACTACAACGGTTGTTTGTCAAAGTAATATGATAAGATGACACGAAGTTGGGATGCACACCTGTGGCTGCAAGGGAGAAGTCCAAAGATTGAACTTGGGGCTGATACTGTTGCGCGTGAGCCAAGGCATCGGCGCCAGCCGTGCGCATCCCTTTCGCCAGGGCCTGTCGTGGATTCGTCGCGGATGTGGGAGCAGAGTGCAGCCGGGCGGCTGGCTGCGGTTAGCCGTGTGCATCTTTGTGTGCCCACTGCAGGTGGCACCGAAGGAAGACATGCAAGACGCCTCGCCAACTTCCACAACTTTGGAGGCCATCCGAAGATGTCCCAAGTGAGCACAAGGGTTCTTCCATTGCAAGCCGTTGGAACAAGGCCATTTGGACAGCATGCACCGTAGAGTCGTAGAGATGTAAGCGCTTGCGTGCTGCCGGCTTGGGAGCCGGGCAGCCGGGCCGGCCCGACGCGGGGTGTTGCGTGCGGATTGCAAGGGAGGGGCTGCAAATTTCTTGGTTGGAGGGGAAGGTCTGCTTGGTTCTAGACGCCTCTCGGCCAAGGGCCGATGCGAATATAGGCAATATAGGCGAAGCCTACCACACCTGCGCTCTGCGACTTTGTCATACACGGGCACAGCATGGCGCACAGCGTGGCGCACAGCGTGGCGCACGGCGCACAGCGTGCCGCACAGCGGCGCAGGCGGAGCGGGCAGAACTGCAGCGCCTTCGAGAAGAGGCATCCGAGATGCAAACATGGGCACACGTGCGGATGAGTGTTTCTTTTGGTCTTACTGCACATGGTATCGTTAAACCGTGACTCTCAACTTCGAGGGGGGACCCTCTTTCGATTCTGCTCTCGGCTCTGGGCCATGGTTCAGGTGGAAGCTGCCGCCAAAGACCTGGAGCTGAGGCAAGAGGCCGCGAAGCGCCGGCCTTAGGGAGGGAAGCTCGGATCGCTGGCAGCTTGCAGAGGGCGACTCTCCAGCAGCATGATAGCATCCACGCCAGGCAGGCATTCTGCCAAGCCTTTCTTTTCCTCCTCGACTCCCATTTATGTCAACTTTTTGGCTGAAGGATCCTTGATAAGCTTGACTGCTCCCTTTTGAGAAACACTTGTTGCGGTTATGAAGATTGCGTCATATTGGGTCCAATGGGGGCTTCAAGGCTTGCAGAAGATGTTGCAAGCCCAGCCCCAGAAAATGAAGCCGACCGCAGGCGATTGCGCCCATGCGTGGCGCACTTCTCGATTTGACATGTCCTTGCGAATTCTTGCTTCCAAAGGGCCCTTGAAATGTCACGCAAACTGGGAGGGATTTTGCGATGCCCTGACTGCTTGCTTTGAAGGTGTGCCCGACCTCTTCGATTTTCATTTCCCATAGTATTCGTCCTCGCTAGTCAGCACGATAGTCAAGTACCATGATGATCCACGCAGCTCAATGTTGAAGAAGGCGGCGCTGATGTCGCGGGCTGTCGTTATCCAAGTGGGATGAACGGCAGTTTCCCTCGCCATCGCGCTCCCGAGACGCATGTCCAAGTTCTGCAAGCTGAAAGCCTCGATGTCATGACTTTCACCCTGAAGTTTCCACAAACCACGGTTCCAACCTTAGGTTTATGTGTCGGCTTTCCTGTATGGAAGAATTCAAAGCGTGCACCAGCTGCATCGGCAGAGCATTCGGAAGTCCAACAGATAAGCCCAGTCCCAGATTCTGGAGGTGTTCCTTTCGAACTTCATCCCAGGCCTTTTGACGAATCGTTTGCAGCCAATAACATCCAGTCATCTTGCTGCACCCCGACAAAAACGGCATTTTTGTTCAGCAGCCGCTGGGAAAGTTGACAATTCTTGTGCAAGTTGCTCTTCTTCCATCATCTCCACGCCATCCGCTTGGCCGCCACCAGGTCTGTCCTGAAGGTGTTTCCTGTTCTTTGTGCCACAACGTTCTGTTGTGTGGTCGTCTTGTGGGCTCTTCTGGCGTCCTTCGCCACCCTGGTCGGGGACTGATCAAAACTCTGCTTCGGATTTTCGACCTTCCCGGATTCCCCTCTCCGAGTTACAAAGAAAGCACATTTCGCCTGACCGAAAAGGGCACACACCTGAAACGTTCCGCATGACAGCATTTGCGGTGGCTAGGGATCTTTTCGATGAAGAAGCTCGGAGAGAAGGTTCTTTTTGCGCTTCGTTCCCTTGGCGCGCGAGCTGCGGGCTGAGGCTGGAGCTTGAGGAAACTCGACTCCGGTCCCTGGCAGAGGCACGCGGTGAGACGGAGCAGTCGTGTAGACTTCGCGGCGGCGTATGTTCACTCCACTTTCTGCACCCACTGAGGCACAGGCCAAGCGGGCGGAAGAGTTAGAAGCACGAGAGGCGACAAGCAACCGATAGGAACACAACCATCCCACATTGTCCCACATTGCCTCGCGTCTCACACGCAGCATGCGCAGCTGAACCAGCGGCTTGTGTCAAGGCAGCCTTGCAGGAAGCCGAAGCAGCTCTGGAAAGGCGCAGGTCCGAAGGAAAGGAGCCCGCAGAGGCACCGCATGGAGGGTTTGTGTCGCACACACCAAGACGATGTGCTTCATTCTCCGCTATTCCATACGTTCGGGGCCCTGTAGATTCCAGCAGCAAGACAGCTATCGAAGTCGAAGAATTGGAGCGACTACAGCGGTTGTTTGTCAAATGTAATATGATAAGATGACACGAAGCTGGGATGCACACCTGTGGCTGCAATGGAGAAGTCATGAGAAGTCCAAGGATTGAACTTGGGCCTGTTGCGCGTGAGCCAAGGCATCGGCGCCAGCCGTGCGCATCCCTTTCGCCAGGGCCTGTCGCGGATTCGTCGTGGATGTGGGAGCCGTGTACATCTTTGTGTGCCCACTGCAGGTGGCACCGAAGGAAGACATGCAAGACGCCTCGCCAACTTCCACAACTTTGGAGGCCATCCGAAGATGTCCCAAGGGTTCTTCATGGTTCTTCCATTGCGAGCCGTTGGAACAAGGCCATTTGCACAGCAAGCATGTACCGTGGAGATGTAAGCGCCCCGGGCAGCCGGGCCGGCCCGACGCGGGGTGTCGCGTGCGGATTGCGAGGGAGGGGCTGCAATTGTTTTGGTTGGAGTGGGAAGGTCTGCTTGGTTCTAGACGAAGTTCTAGACGCCTCTCGGCCAAGGGCCGCTGCGAATATAGGCGAAGCCTATCACACCGGCACTCTGCGAGCGTGGCACACAGCGTGGCGCACAGCAGCGGCGCAGGCGGAGCGGGCAGAACTGCAGCGCCTTCGAGAAGGGGCATCCGAGATGCAAACATGGGCACACGTGCGGATGAGTGTTTCTTTTGGTCTTACTGCACATGGTATCGTTAAACCGTGACTCTCAACTTCGAGGGGGGACCCTCTTTCGATTCTGCTCTCGGCTCTGGGCCATGGTTCAGGTGGAAGCTGCCGCCAAAGACCTGGAGCTGAGGCAAGAGGCCGCGAAGCGCCGGCCTTAGGGAGGAAAGCTCGGATCGCTGGCAGCCGGCAGAGCAACCTCCCACCCCGCACCCCCCCTCCCCCCTTCCCAAGGAGAGCAGCAGAAGAGTCGACCACTCGGGCCATTCCGTGGCTGCAAGCTTCCGCGCTGTCTCACGCCTGCTCAGGCGTGAGCTGCAGTTCTTGGAAGAGGAGTCGGCGCAAGGGCCTTGGTTGAATGCCTAGATAAATCCTCTGAGATGTTCTCCATAAGTTTCTTTGCTGGCTAAAACGGCTGTCGACTTGCGCCACGGTTTTTTGTCGCTACTACGCGCTGATCGTGGTCCGACACATCTGTCTGGGAACTCTGGGTATGCTCCTCTATGCACCACACGAGTCAACGACTGCATGTCTGATCAGGCAAATGAAGCTGGCATCCTCGCCGGGGCCCTCTACTGCACTGCGAAGTTCATTGCATTGTGGTAGTGCCCGAGGTTGAAGGAGGAGGAGGCGCGCTTGCGCATGCAGCGCCGAAGCTTAGGAATGCTCCAGCAGGCAGGGCTTTAGCGGTTGTTGTTTCAAAGTTTGACAGACAGGAACACAAAAAGACACCAAAAGACACAAGTGCAATGGAGTGGCACGCAGGCGATCCTAAAGGGAGCGGCCGACGTGCATTCGAGTAGCGGCTACGTGGAGCAAGCGCCTCAGGGCCTTAGAGTGGGGCCTTTGCAAGTTACTCCGAAAAGTGCCGTACGTTCCATAGTTCATATTCAGAATATGAAATTATGGAACGTACGGCACTCTCGTAGTAACTTGCAAAGGCCGCACAATTCTTACGTCGCACATCCTCTAAGTCTGAAGTGGCGAAACATCATTGGCAAACATCGTGCCAAGCCAAACAGCCGGTGCGACCTGCAGACGTGTGCAAAATGGTGCTTTTGTGCTCCCCAACATGGAGAAACATGTTCTCAGACAATCTAGAATGTACTTAAACTGGAACATGTCATCCAGCTAGACAAGCATTACTTTGCTCCATTTTGGCTCCTGGCTCCCAGCCAAGGCATACGATGAACGATGATACAGAACAAGCGGATGCTCAAGGCGTTCTGCAGGCTTGGTTGATGACTCTTCAAGACACTGAAACATGAGCATGCGGAGCATGCGGAACACTCGGCACAGGCAGGACATCCAAGAGGCCAGCCGCTTGCATCCGGTTACCATTTTAATGAGAGGTGTGACCTTCTGATTCCATGACGACTCTGGGTTTGGGTTGAATGCTTTTTCCGAACATAATCGGCAAAGCCGCGGATGCGAGCGACCCGAGCGAGCCACAGATTCAACTTGCTGCAACCTTGGGTGTTTGGCTGCACTTAAGCCACGTCTTTGTGGGCATTCCGCTCGATGCCCGTGTGAGGATGTCTCCTCCAGTTATGGCTTACGTGACGAAACCCTGAACCCCAAAAGGAGGTGTTGGATGGGAAGCCCAACCAACACCCGAAAATCGGTAATCCCAAGGTGGGAGATGTTCTCGTGGGTTCACATGGCAAGGCCCCAGCCTGTATGTCACACCCTGTGTTTTCTCGTGGGTTCACATGGCAAGGCCCCAGCCTGTATGTCACGCCCTGTGTTTTCTCGTGGGTTCACATGGCAAGCCCACAGCCTGTTTGTCACGCCCTGTGTTTTCACAGCCTGTATGTCACGCCCTGTGTTTTCTCGTGGGTTCACATGGCAAGGCCCCAGCCTGTATGTCACGCCCTGTGGCCCTGTGTTTTCTCGTGGGTTCACATGGCAAGCCCACAGCCTGTATGTCACGCCCTGTGTTTTCTCGTGGGTTCAGATGGCAAGGCCCCAGCCTGTATGTCACGCCCTGTGGCTGTGTTTTCTCGTGAGTTCACATGGCAAGGCCCCAGCCTGTATGTGACGCCCTGTGTTTTCTCGTGGGTTCACATGGCAAGGCCCCAGCCTGTATACGCCCTGTGGCCCTGTGTCTTCTCGTGGGTTCACATGGCAAGGCCCCAGCCTGTATGTCACGCCCTGTGGCCCTGTGTCTTCTCGTGAGTTCACATGGCAAGGCCCCCAGCCTGTATGTCACGCCCTGTGGCCCTGTGCTATATCTCGTGAGTTCACATGGCAAGGCCCCAGCCTGTACGTCACGCCCTGTGTTTTCTCGTTTTCACATGGCAAGCCCCCAGCCCTGTGGCCCTGTGTTTCTCGTGAGTTCACATGGCAAGGCCCCAGCCTGTATGTCACGCCCTAAGTTTTCTCGTGAGTTCACACGTGAGTTCACATGGCAAGGCCCCAGCCTGTATGTCACGCCCTGTGTTTTCTCGTGGGTTCACATGGCAAGGCCCCAGCCTGTGGGTCACGCCCTGTGGCCCTGTGTTTTCTCGTGAGTTCACATGGCAAGGCCCCAGCCTGTATGTCACACCCTGTGTTTTCTCGTGGGTTCACATGGCAAGGCCCCAGCCTGTATGTCACGCCCTGTGTTTTCTCGTGGGTTCACATGGCAAGGCCCCAGCCTGTATGTCACGCCCTGTGTTTTCTCGTGGGTTCACATGGCAAGGCCCCAGCCTGTATGTCACGCCCTGTGGCCCTGTGTTTTCTCGTGGGTTCACATGGCAAGGCCCCAGCCTGTACGTCACGCCCAGTGGCCCTGTGTTTTCTCGTGAGTTCACATGGCAAGGCCCCAGCCTGTATGTCACGCCCTGTGTTTTTTCGTGGGTTTACATGGCAAGGCCCCAGCCTGTATGTCACGCCCTGTGGCCCTGTGTTTTCCCGTGAGTCCACATGGCAAGGCCCCAGCCTGTATGTCATGCCCTGTGTTTCTCGCGGGTTCACATGGCAAGACCCCGCCTGCATGTCACGCCCTGTGGCCCTGTGTTTTCTCGTGAGTTCACATGGCAAGGCCCCAGCCTGTATGTCACGCCCTGTGTTTTCTCGTGAGTTTACATGGCAAGGCCCCAGCCTGTATGTCACGCCCTGTGTTTTCTCGTGGGTTCACATGGCAAGGCCCCAGCCTGTATGTCACCCCCTGTGTTTTCTCGTGGGTTCACATGGCAAGGCCCCAGCCTGTATGTCACGCCCTGTGGCCCTGTGTTTCTCGGTATGTCGCGCCCTGCGTTTTCTCGTGAGTTCACATGGCAAGGCCCTAGCCTGTGTGTCACGCCCTGTGGCCCTGTGTTTTCTCGTGAGTTCACATGGCAAGGCCCCAGCCTGTATGTCACGCCCTAAGTTTTCTCGTGGGTTCACATGGCAAGGCACCAGCCTGTATGTCACGCCCTGTGTTTTCTCGTGAGTTCACATGCAAGGCCCCAGCCTGTATGGCCCTGTGTTTTCTCGTGGGTTCACATGGCAAGGCCCCAGCCTGTGGGTCACGCCCTGTGGCCCTGTGTTTTCTCGTGAGTTCACATGGCAAGGCCCCAGCCTGTATGTCACGCCCTGCGTTTTCTCGTGGGTCCACATGGCAAGGCCCCAGCCTGTATGTCACACCCTGTGGCCCTGCCCTGTGTTTTCTCGTGAGTTCACATGGCAAGGCCCCAGCCTGTATGTCACGCCCTGTGGCCCTGTGTATTCTCGTGGGATCACATGGCAAGGCCCCAGCCTGTATGTCACGCCCTGTGTTTTCTCGTGAGTTCACATGGCAAGGCCCCAGCCTGTATGTCACGCCCTGTGTTTTCTCGTGGGTTCACATGGCAAGGCCCCAACCTGTATGTCACGCCCTGTGTTTTCTCGTGGGTTCACATGGCAAGGCCCCAGCCTGTATGTCACTCCCTGTGTCTTCTCGTGGGTTCACATGGCAAGGCCCCAGCCTGTATGTCACGCCCTGTGTTTTCTCGTGGGTTCACATGGCAAGGCACCAGCCTGTATGTCACGCCCTGTGTTTTCTCGTGGGTTCACATGGCAAGGCCCCAGCCTGTATGTCACGCCCTGTGGCCCTGTGTTTCTCGGTATGTCGCGCCCTGCGTTTTCTCGTGAGTTCACATGGCAAGGACCTAGCCTGTGTGTCACGCCCTGTGGCCCTGTGTTTTCTCGTGAGTTCACATGGCAAGGCCCCAGCCTGTATGTCACGCCCTAAGTTTTCTCGTGAGTTCACACGTGAGTTCACATGGCAAGGCCCCAGCCTGTATGTCACGCCCTGTGGCCCTGTGTCTTCTCGTGAGTTCACATGGCCCAGCCTGTATGTCACGCCCTGTGTTTTCTCGTGGGTTCACATGGCAAGGCCCCAGCCTGTATGTCACGCCCTGTGGCCCTGTGTTTTCTCGTGAGTTCACATGGCAAGGCCCCAGCCTGTATGTCACGCCCTGTGTTTTCTCGTGGGTTCACATGGCAAGGCCCCAGCCTGTACGTCACGCCCAGTGGCCCTGTGTTTTCTCGTGAGTTCACATGGCAAGGCCCCAGCCTGTATGTCACGCCCTGTGTTTTTTCGTGGGTTTACATGGCAAGGCCCCAGCCTGTATGTCACGCCCTGTGGCCCTGTGTTTTCCCGTGAGTCCACATGGCAAGGCCCCAGCCTGTATGTCACGCCCTGTGTTTTCTCGCGGGTTCACATGGCAAGACCCCGCCTGCATGTCACGCCCTGTGGCCCTGTGTTTTCTCGTGAGTCCACATGTGTGTTTTCTCGTGAGTTTACATGGCAAGGCCCCAGCCTGTATGTCACGCCCTGTTTTCTCGTGGGTTCACATGGCAAGGCCCCAGCCTGTATGTCACGCCCTGTGGCCCTGTGTTTTCTCGTGAGTTCACATGGCAAGGTCCAGCCCAGTGGCCCTGTGTTTTCTCGTGGGTTCACATGGCAAGGCCCCAGCCTGTATGTCACGCCCTGCCCAGCCTGTATGTCACGCTCTGTGTTTTCTCGTGGGTTCACATGGCAAGGCACCAGCCTGTATGTCACGCCCTGTGTTTTCTCGTGAGTTCACAGGCAAGGCCCCAGCCTGTATGGCCCTGTGTTTTCTCGTGAGTTCACATGGCAAGGCCCCAGCCTGTATGTCACGCCCTGCGTTTTCTCGTGGGTTCACATGGCAAGGCCCCAGCCTGTATGTCACGCCCTGTGGCCCTGTGTTTTCTCGTGAGTTCACATGGCATGGCCCCAGCCTGTATGTGACGCCCTGAGTTTTCTCGTGGGTTCACATGGCAAGGCCCCAACCTGTATGTCACGCCCTGTGTTTTCTCGTGGGTCCACACGGCAAGGCCCCAGCCTGTATGTCACTCCCTGTGTCTTCTCGTGGGTTCACATGGCAAGGCCCCAGCCTGTATGTCACGCCCTGTGTTTTCTCGTGGGTTCACATGGCAAGGCACCAGCCTGTATGTCACGCCCTGTGTTTTCTCGTGGGTTCACATGGCAAGGCCCCAGCCTGTATGTCACGCCCTGTGGCCCTGTGTTTCTCGGTATGTCGCGCCCTGCGTTTTCTCATGAGTTCACATGGCAAGGCCCTAGCCTGTGTGTCACGCCCTGTGGCCCTGTGTTTTCTCGTGAGTTCACATGGCAAGGCCCCAGCCTGTATGTCACGCCCTAAGTTTTCTCGTGAGTTCACACGTGAGTTCACATGGCAAGGCCCCAGCCTGTATGTCACGCCCTGTGTTTTCTCGTGAGTTCACATGGCCCGGCCCCAGCCTGTATGTCACGCTCTGTGGCCCTGTGTTTTCTCGTGAGTTCACATGGCAAGGCCCCCCAGCCTGTATGTCATGCCCTGTGTTTTCTCGTGGGTTCACATGGCAAGGCCCCAGCCTGTATGTCACGCCCTGTGGCCCTGTGTTTTCTCGTGAGTTCACATGGCAAGGCCCCAGCCTGTATGTCACGCCCTGTCTTTTCTCGTGAGTTCACATGACCGGGCCCCAGCCTGTATGTCACGCCCTGTGGCCCTGTGTTTTTCTCGTGGGTTCACGTGGCAAGGCCCCAACCTGTATGTCACGCCCTGTGTTTTCTCGTGGGTTCACATGGCAAGGCCCCAGCCATGTCACGCCCTGTGGCCCTGTGTTTTTCTCGTGGGTTCACATGGCAAGGCCCCAGCCTGTATGTCACGCCCTGTGGCCCTGTGTTTTCTCGTGAGTTCACATGGCAAGGCCCCAGCCTGTATGTCACGCCCTGTCTTTTCTCGTGAGTTCACATGACCGGGCCCCAGCCTGTATGTCACGCCCTGTGGCCCTGTGTTTTTCTCGTGGGTTCACATGGCAAGGCCCCAACCTGTATGTCACGCCCTGTGTTTTCTCGTGGGTTCACATGGCAAGGCCCCAGCCTGTATGTCACGCCCTGTGGCCCTGTGTTTTTCTCGTGAGTTCACATGGCAAGGCCCCAGCCTGTATGTCACGCCGTGTGTTTTCTCGTGATTTCACATGGAATTCACATGGCAAGGCCCCAGCCTGTATATCACGCTGTTCTTCCAAACCGCTCCGCATCTAGGTTGTCAACGCGGGGGGGGGGGGGGTTGGGTCCTGCTTTTGTCTCCAGTACGCAGCAGGCCTACAGCGCGCAATATCTCCGAAGGGATATTAAGGGGGGGGGGGGGGGCGTTGGGACATACTTAAGAAAGTCTTAAGTTTAAGTGGCTGTGCAAACGAAAGAGGTCCTAACGTCGCTTGTGTTGGCGTGAAAACTTGCACGGACATTTTCCCATGCTCTTGGACTCTTGGGGTTCTCAAGGAGACGCTGCCACGGAGCACGAATGTGCTGACCAAAAAGAAGACGATGAGGACTCCGAATATGGACTGTACTCGGTTCGAACCACCACTCTCGCCTTTTTGTTCCTGGCAACAAGAAAAACAAGGGGCAAGTTCTCACGGACGGCAGGTCTGGGACTTGGATTGGAGCGCTGTCCGGTCGCATGCTCAAAGAAGAGCAGAGGTGTCCTCTTTCGATGCTTTGGGAGGGAGGTGTGTGTGTGTGTGGTGTGGTAGTTTCGGACAGCAGATCCTCTTCAGTTGCCTTCTCGAGGCCTGAGGACGACGGCAAGCGTGAAGAGTCTTGAGCAGACTTCAGGGATCACGGCGCGCAAGAAGCGCGGCCCATTTTTTCACGAGTGCCACAAAAGAAACGCCGATCCATTGCTGTTCCGGTGTGCTCCTACGGCCGATTATGATTTGGCATGCTGGAAAGCCTTCAGCCCTGTCAGGGCAGCTCACAGAGGCTCAGGTAACCTCATCCATCACACCCCTCCACAAATACAGCTTGTCAGCATGCGAAGACAGACCTCCTAAAGAACACATTTTGTCTAGCTTCACGCAGTAGCAAGTTTCCTTGTAAACCAAGCGTGCCACGCCACACCACCTTGGACGTACATTGCATTCCGCATAGTGGTGCATCCCCATAGCCCTCGTCCTTGGCCCCCATAGCAATACCCATGGCCGAGATCGTCAGCACGTGCAAGCCGGCATAGCACCCGGTCCCCCTGTGCGATGTCCGCGCTGCCGAGGCTCCAAGGGGCCCAGACACACAAGACACAGATTGTACAGAGCATCTGTCGGGAGGATGAGTCCTGGCTGTCAGGAGCTTCCGGCACATACAAGTGCTTGCGAAGCAGCATGCGAATACCATCACTCTCGGACAGCTCATGAGGAAATCCACGGATGTGACGCTCTTGAGCCGGCTTGCGTGAGAGATGTTGGACTCTGTAAGACAGCATCTTCTTTGAAAGTGAGGAGCACACGCTCGGACACTGTCTCGCTGATCCGCCAGGCCGATTAAGTGAGTGTTCAAAGGCCATAAGACGTGGCTTAGAGTTGTTCAAGCAAAACGATGAGTGACCAATTTAATTTAAGCCTCAGCGCTCTGAGTTTAGATAGTTGCATGTCATTGCCACGTTTTCTCCACTGCCAGGGCCAGTGGCTACGTGGCCAGCTGCCGATCCGGTTTGCACGGCGCCTGGATGAATTCCTGCAGCTCCCGCTGGGGCCTCAGAGTCGAAGTGAGGCAAAAATGCGCTGAACATGTGGATGGGGGAGGGGGGGGGGGGGGGGCATTTCGCAGGTTCCTTGATAAATGCAGCAGCGATGGCGAGCTCTGCAGGTACGTGGTGGTGCACAACAAACACATCAAGCAGGCTCCGTCACAGCATCCCCTCTTGGATCGGATGTACGGCACCGCAGCAGAAAGAAGCTTGCGGATCAAACAAAGCAGCAGGTCTTGGATATCTACGTCGAGACTTTCGAGAGCGTGTCGGATTTCCCAAGCATACTGACGGAGAAAGACGAGGCCCAAAGACTTCAAGCTTTCAGAGCAGCGGGTGGCGATCCATCATGCCATCCTTCGACCCTTGGGCCGCTTTACCCGTGAGGCAGAGTTTGCTCACCTCGTTCGAGCGCAACTCGAGAAGCATCAGGCAGTCGCGGGCCGCCCAGAACTTCCAGGTGAATAAATGGTGAACAAATCTTCGCAGCTTCACCTCTAGAGTCGAGAGTCTACAAGAGGGCCCACCATGGTCGCAAATGATGCTTACAACAGCGAGACAGCTGTTGAAGGATTGCTTCAAAAACCCTTGCCCCGAGGCCAGGCTGATCGCTGAAGGCTACCGAGAGGCTGCCGCAAAGAATCAAAGAGTCATGGGCCTTTCCTGTTGACAGTCTATCTTGGGGCCAGGTTCGTATGGCATATCCCCACTTCCGTTTGGACACTTTCCTGGATCGTGCCTGATCCCAGCATGTCGACATGCCACGAGGCAGTCGATCTGCATCTCTCCTAGAAATAAGGCCAAAATAAGCGCAGTCGTGAAGGTGAAGGGGCTCAGAAGATGCATCTCGAGCGCAGTGGTGCCTTTGCTGCCAAGGACTTTTCATCACAAGGATCTCTGTGCGCATCTTGATGGCCCCTTGCATGCAGATGTGGCGGGGTTGTCGGGTTGTCCACGACAGTCCAGTCGTCCTGCTCTTCTCGTCGGAACTTCAGGAAAACTACATCCGAATGCGCTCTCCACAAGAAGGCTTCATAGGCCCAGATTCCTCTACTTCTTGGAAGGTTTCTGGCGCAGTAGGTGCTGCCAACATCTACACGATGAAGATTCAGGTGTGGTGCAGAAAGAGATGTCGCCTCACAGAATCATCCAGGCATTGGATTGCACTTCGGCTCTCACGGTTAGCACAATGTCCATCATGTCTTTCCTCTGTTGTCGATGGAGGAGCTGAGCAACGAGATCACACGTCTTACGGAGGCACTCGAAGTGTATCGAAGAGTGCTACAACTGCCACAACGGCATCATCCATGTTGCGGCCTTGCTCAGACTTGCTCAGCTTTGCTCAGCTTTGCTATGCAGGCCATCTACGGTGTGGCGCCGGAGATCGAGCGTGGCATCCCAGCTACATGTTTTGGCATTCTATGTGACCACGCGCCATCACCCGGCCAGCCGTTCAAGCAAGTAAGGGGTGGACACGACTGCCCAAGACGCTGTAAAAAGGGAACAGAAAAGCGACACCCCTAAGTTAATGCGCCGTTGGGTGCTATAGCCTAGAATTTTTCCCAAAGTGACAGACACCTGCAGACATCAAGCGTGGATGATTGATGCTAAAACCCTGTAAAACGATGTGAACACTTGAAAGCGACACCCCTCCTGTGCCGTCCCGACTTGAATGCTCAAAAAGTGCCTCAGGTTCCGGGGAAACGTGTCATGCACACTGGACTACATCCCGCGGCACGTGCAGTTTATGTGCCAGGAGACTCGGGAGATGTAGAAGGGCGTGGAATTGAGCTGCATGGAGCATCACTCGTTCAGAGCAGAGGGCTAGAACGCTGCGAGACAGGAGCTTCTAAAGAATGCCGTCCGCGCCACAACGGAGCGTCACAAGCCCCGGCCCGAGCCGGAATTCATCTGAGAGTCTCAGAGGTTTCTTTTCAAGGCAAATTAGGTTGCAAGTTGGGGAGCGCGGAACTTTGCGAAGCTTATGGGAGGCCCCGAGATCGCCGGAGCGTCGGCTTTGCCTCGGAGCAGCCATCTCAGTACGCACAAGCGTGTGGTGCCTCTTCCGCCATCTATTCCACAGTGAAGTTTTTCACTGAGTTCCATTCTGTTCCCATGATTCCCATACGCTGAGCCCTGGTCTCAGGCCAGCAATGCCCAAAGTGGTGCCTTGGCGTTGTGACGGGCACATGTTCTGCCTTCCGGCATTCTTCCGGCCATGGGTCCGCCCCAAGGTGGTTGAGCTGCAGAAAGGCGACGTCCACGTCATCATCAAGATTAGCGACCAGGCAGGGGCCAGATATAATGCCACATGCAGATCGGCTCTTCCGCCGTGCTTCCAGCCAAGGGAGGCGGAGTGCCGAAGAGAGTCCAGGATGAGGCACGGCAGTGGTTTAACTGACTTATCCCCTCGGACCTTTTGATATGCTGAGTCACTCCAAATAGGCCTGGCAGTATGGTTGGACCACTGCAGACAACGATCACGAGGACAACCTGCAAATGGAAATGCCAGCAGCATGTGCGGTCCCGGCATGGCAGGACGAGGAGGACCCATATTCTGGTTGCACCTGGCGCAAAGAGCTTGCCGGCTATGGTTTCGGTTTGCCGCTTACAAGGCGACGATGAGATGTCACAAGATCATAAAGCAGGGAAGGACATCACCACAATCGTTTTCTTCTGCACCCTCGCTGTGGGGATCTGTGGGGTTTGTAGCCTTTAAGTCAGCCATGCTCGTTGGTCTGTCTTGTATATTCTTGTGTCACACATGAAGCTGGCAAGATTGTCCGGAGCCCAGTATTCAAAAGTCAGCCATGCCAGTGTTCCGGTCTCCTGGGCCTAGTCCCTGGATGGCCAAGCCCGGAGGGAGCCCGGTGCCCGCCCTCAAAATTCCGTGGAGTCCTCTGACAGAAGCCTGCGGATGCATGAACCTGTCTGACAACGGCAGGATGGCTCCCACCATAGCTGTAGGTCGGGGAGGGTCGGGGTAAATTGTGGTTCCCCCCCCCCTCCTCCCGTGCGTGGTGGGTGTCTCTGTCTCTGTCTCTGTCTCTGTCTCTGTCTCCCGCTCCCTCTCCCGCTCCCGCTCCCTCTCTCTCTCTCTCTCTCTGTTTTGTCCCCAAAACCCTCTAAGCCGATTGAAGGGCTCAATGAACTTGTGAGTGCGATGACGGAGCGTGAAGCTTTGACGCACAGTTCTCCGAGACTCAGTAAACAAAAATGCAAGACAACCGAACTCTCGAGCAATGCAGGCATTTTTCTGCCAGAGACATAATGATTGGCTACAATGTAGAACGAGAAGCCGTGCAACATTTTGACCGACCATAAACCTGCCACTGCCGAAATGCAGCTGCACCCGCCTGTTTTCCACCACACCTGCAGGCTTCATGCCCAGTATTTCGGCGGCGACGTCTTCATGCAGGCCTTGCCGGGACATGGTGGGCAGCTCAGTTTGCAAATGTACCGGTATACATTGCCTGCTCCCTGTCGTTCAAGGCACAGACATGTACCTGCTGCTGAACCACTTGAAGGAGGGCAGTCCTTCCACGGAGGAAGATGATCCATCGACGGCGCGAGCCTTGGAGTTGGGGATGTTGTCTTTACAATATGTTGTACAATCATAGCAATCGAAAGTGTGTTCTTCGAGCTCTTTCTGGCATTCGCATCTGAGGCCTTGACCGTGACGGAAAACCAGTCGGTGAATGCGCCATGATCGCCGGCGCCTTTGTGCCGGTGCTTGCTCGCGGAAAAAACGGGGGTGCTCTTGACTTTTTTGCTGCTCTCTGCAGAAAGGACATGCTGTCATACGAGGAGCTGTTGGTTTTTCGGCATGCCCCTGCCACAACTTCCCTTTGCCCTTTGCCAGGCAACAAGCCGCTCGAGTGAGGAAGTTGTAATAGTAGAAAAGCTTCGATGGCTGCCTGAAGACCCTACATATCCTGCAGTATCTCACATGTAATTAGAAATCAGCTTGTGAAATTAGACGAGGACACAGGTACCATGAGCATATTCTAGCCGACACTGCAACCTTCAGCACAAGGCTGTAATCAAGGCATATTGAGCTCAGGCGCTACGAGGGCTTGAGACGACTTTCACATTTTTCTGTTTTGGAGGAGGGCTGGATGCCGTGGGCTGCCGTCCTTCGGACCCGAGGGTGTCTGGGCTTTCAGTTCCGCCACTTGAAGTCACAAGAGCCGTTGAAGGGAGAGCGCCCTGAAACAAAAGTCATCAGCTTCGGAGCACGACCAGACGAACCCGTCGCAGATTTCTCGTGGCAGACTCAAGAGACTCTTTAAAGTTTTGGGGTGGCCGCGGCTGGCTGGCCGCGTGTTGGCAGCAATCTTAGGGAGCACTGCTCTGAAACCATGCGAGACTGTCAAACAAGAAACAAAAGGTTGCACACCCTCAACCGTGAGTTGGGTAATCTTTGAGGTGATGATGGCTCAGTGGTGGTCTGGGGCGGCCGGCTGCAAGACGTGTTGACTTTGGAACACGTCGTGCAGCTGACCGCTGAGAACGACCAGTTCCATGCCACCACGCGGGGCGGGGAGGCCTCGCTGGGCGATACAAGCGTGCCTACTTGTCGCGATGCATGTCGTGTGCTTGCAAGGTGGTGTCGTGGTCCGAGGCAGACTACGACGACGACACTGCCAGCCCATTGGTTCTCATTTGTCATTATTTAGGAGTCTATCATTTGTTAGGCATCAACCACCATGATCACATGAGCTGGTGTGGGATCGGTGGTTGGCTTACACGGTTCCTGCAGGTGCTTGGCCGCTGGCATGAAAGCGTAAACTTGTTTACCCTTTCGTCGTTCTCGCCTCCTTGCCTTGCTGCATTGTCTTGGGCCACGCGGCCTGGCGTGCAAGCGAAACAACATGAAACAACAGTAAGAGCGTACACTCGCAAAACAAACAAACGTTTTGCGCTCCGCCTTCACCACGGAACTCGATTTCTTCTTCTTTGACGCCTTTATTGTTTTGCTATTTGCCTGTCTTGGTCGGCTCGCCGTTCTTGCACTTGTCTTTTATTTTGATGGTGCGGGGCTGAGGGTCCACGATTTCGGGTCAAGGGTTCGTACTTAATTAGGGTTCAGAGTTCGCGGCTGGGTTGTTTAGGACCTTTGCTTTCTAATGCCCCGGGGTGTTAGGTTGACTTGTTTACCAGGGTGGTTCAGATCTCTAACACCCAATCTTGAACCCTGCGCCCTACTCAAGATGCCCGACCCTCAACATGTCTCTTTTTTTTGGGGTTCAGGATGAGCACTGCCTGTTCTGCTGTGTGTATGACTCTGTAGTTGCCTAGCCGAGAGCACGATTCCAACACAAAAGGTACCGGCCGAGCCGAGAGACAAGTTGCTGTCAGGCCAAAGCACTTAAACCCGCAAACATCTCTTTTGTAACATGCCACTCAAAGTAGGGCCCAACATGTTACATACTCAAGCAGAATATAATATAAATGTTAAATGCTGAAGGAGCGAGAAACGTCACAAACACAAAGACGCAAAGAGCCCACCGAAAGGATAGAACAAAACAAAATGCGGAAAGCACTAAGTTTACGTGCTCCCGCCTCAGTCCCGTACGCATTTTGCTGTGTGAGCCAAGCCGCAGCTCCAAGAATCCGGAAGGCAAGCCAGCAAACAAGAATCCGGAAGGAGCCAGAAAACACCGTGTTGAGACGTTGCTTGAGCCGTTTTGCACTTTTCCGCTGTGTTTCGTCGATTTGCCACTTTACTGTTTTCACGCCGAGGGTGCTTCGTGACATGGTTTTCTTCAACAGCGCCAGGCCAGCACAGCCAACACCATAATCAGCACCACCAGAACCACCAGAAACTACCAAGGTTTATAGGGTTTATAGGGGAATTAGGGAAATGGGTTTACAGTTTACAGTTTACGAGCCATCAGTGTGAGCTCGACTTCCGTCCAGGCGAAGACGAGGAAGACTCTGAGGAGGAGGAGGAGGAGGAGGAGCCCAAATGAGCATTTGGGGAAGATGGAGTCCTCCCTTACACGCCCCCTTGGTTCCTTATGATATATGTGAGTAGGAGGGCTGTGAAGGCTTTTTGAGTTGAGGGTTTATGGCGAATGAGCTTTGAGGTTTATCTGGGTAAGCGCTTAAGGGCTAGGGAGGTCCGACCTGGCTGTATACTACAGCTCATTGATGGTACTGGCTGCTACTGCCAGCAATGATCTAAATGGTTGCGTCACGGCCAATGCCAGCCGGACCAATGCTGGTGAACACTTCTCGCGCATATCAAGCTCGAGCACAAAAACGGAGCGTGCTCGTGCGCCATCCAGAACCTAGCCATCTCAGGCACTTGTTGCACTCTTTTGAACTCGGGCGACGCTGTGCCAAGTGTCGTCACTGAGTTGAGAGCACCGCATTGACTCACATGCTCAATTGTACCGCCGTGTCCTGCCGTAGCCCAGCTGATAGCAACTTCAGTCAGTGTCAAGTATACGTACTCTAATCTTATCGAGTAGTGCTGCTACGGCTCATGTGCTGGCCTTGACAGAGCATGGGATGGAATGGCTGAAGGACTCAGCGGATACTGAGGCGGGCGCGGGCAACGATGCCTCGTCTTACTCGTGCCGCTCTGAGCTTCGCTTCTACTTGTACTTGATCCTGCCTTGCTGCATCATTGGCCGACTTGGCTGTCTCTTATTACGGGAAATTGAACTCTTGCAAACTGCGTATAGCCCTAAACCCCTAAACCCGAAGCCCTACACCGCCGTTGGATTTGTCGAGGGGCTTAGGGTCACGTCAGGCTTTCAGAGAAATCCCAAAGCCTAGACTCTAAACCCTAAACCCCCAAGCCTCACAAGACCCCAAGCCCCAAACGACTAACCCTAATCCCCGGAAGCCAGTACCCTGATCCTTGTTGGGGGGGGGTGTTTGGATCCCGTATATACGCCTACTTCAAGCCCCCCAAAGGGTTGCCCCTTTCATTGTAATTGTGTTCTCCTGGGATACTGAGGGAGGGTAAACCCTAGACCCTAAACCACGAGACCTTAAACCCTTCAACTCCTAAAGCCCTACACTCCTAAACCCCTCAACTTCTAAACTCCTAAACCACGAAACTCCTATGAGGGGATGAGGGTTTGGGGTTTGGGTTTGGCACTCATCATTTAGGCTTAAACCCTACCCTTCGTTTCGGTACCTAGTTTCCTTCTTATAGAACCCTAACCCCAAAATAGGGTGCTTAGAAAAGGTGCGGGGTATAAGCCTCTAGGATGTGTTTGGAAGGAGTGCTGTGGGGATATGAAGCTTCTGTTATGAACTTGATGAGGGGTATGACTCTGAGGATCTTGGGTCTTCCGGGGTTTAGGGCTGAGGGTGGTTTGGAACCTTACAGTGTAAGGTTTGAGGGTTTAGGGTTTATAGGGCTTATAGGGCAGAAGGGTTTTAGGTCAAGGGGTTAGGGTGTAGGGTTTAGGGTTTATGGCTTCGAAATACAAGCTATGCGTTGCCCAGGCTGTTGGGGCATAGGGTTTAGGGCTTAGGGTTTAGGGTCATCTACATGTACTGCCGCCAACAACCCTACTAGTAAACCCGGCCCTAGACCCTGCACTCGGGTTTAGGGCCACCATGTGCCGACGTCGTTCACACACAGCCTTATGTGGAGCATTTTGTCGACCCGCCTCCCCCTTGAACCCAGTTCAGGGCATACCTAGAGTCCAAGTACCCAAGTATAAGGGCTTTAGGGCCCAGATACCATACTCTTAAGTGCCCTTGGCAACTAAAGCCCTCATTATTTTTGGGCACTTGGACCCTTAAGCTTAGGATGTAGGGATTAGGGTTTAGGGTAAAACCCCACTCCCTTGAACCGTAATTGAGCAGATGCGAAACCAATCTGGACATTGAATGGAAGCCTCTCTAACCCATGAGGCGTCGGCCTGCCCGGTCACTGGCGCTATCTGCAGAGAGCGAGGCCCAAACCAAAACCAAGAGGGACGCTGTGGGGCTCCTGTTTTACACACCCTACACCCTAAACCCTATACCTAAGGGTCCAAGTCCCCAAATGTTGGCGCTTTAGGGCCCAGGTACCATACTCTGAATGATTGTTGGTCCCTTTTCAAATAACATATTTAGGTTCTTGGACCCTTAGGGATAGGGCATTTAAATGGTCAACTCGAAATGCGAATCGGGGGTCTCATGGCATCTATAATGTAAACTACAGAGCTCGTAGCAATGCTCTGACTGCCCCAAGTATATAGATACTTAGAAGCAAAAGGGAGTATATGGTAACTACTTTGGGGCCCAAGTGCCCCCCATAAAGGTACCTGGACCCTTTTGGAATGTAAACTACAAAGCTCGTAGCAATGCCCTGACTACGTACGGTAATAAGAAGGCTGCAAGTAGATCCGCTTCGACGGTGCCCAGGCTCAGCCCTGTCAGGTAGCGAACGCATGTTTCACCCATGCTTTCAGGCTGCCGTACCTTGAAGGATGTAATCTCTCGGGTGGGCGTGCCATGTCGCGAGGTCAAGCAGGAGGACGCACGGCATCGCACGGTTTTGGAGTGGTGCAAAAAGTGTTGCCCGAGTTGTGTTTTTTTTGTAGCACTTCCACCATGCCTTCGACTTAGAAAGCATGGCGAGGAGCCGCCAAAAGAGGATGAAGAAGAGCAAGTTCTCACTCCACCTGACCGGACAGCGTGTTGCAAAGCAGGACTGCTGGAGGGAGGCCCTGCAGTGGCTTTTTGCTCTCATTT